GAAATAAGATTGTTTACTTAAAAGATACAAGAAATGTTATCTAAATTGCTGTCTTTCTTAAGAGGTATTTGTGCAGATCATGTTGGCAATGATAAGAATTTTTTTTTTTTTTCTTAAACTCAGAACAGGCCTTAGTTCTCAATAAGTAGATTCTACCCAGAATTCCCTTTCAAATAGGAAAGCCAATGAGAAAACAACACTGCTGATGAATGAGTATTTTCAGAGTTGCTGCCATATCTCTATCTATAAAAGGCAGGATATGTGTGTGTGTGTGTGTGTGTGTGTGTGTGTGTGTGTGTGTGTGTGTGTGTGTGTAACGAATGCACAGCTGCAATTTTCAATGGATTTGCACCAAAATTTACATGCATTTGCATTTCCCAACTCCCATCGATAGTGGAAATAATCAATTTTTTCATGCTTCTACGGCAGTTTTCATGTAGTTTGCGGCCATTTTCTACTGGCCAGAGTGAGAGCTTATAGCTGGCTGCCACGAATAGGCAGGAAGATTCTATTGGCCAGCGTGAGAGCCAACAGCTCACTGACACGAATGTTAACTAGCATGCAAAAAAAAAATCGATAGCTGCATTAGGTCACAAATGGGAAAAATTTAAATCTGCATAGCACTTTACTCCAATTGGCTCATTAAACACTTAAACTCAACGTTGATTCTAATTCCATGAGAACTGGGTTGGGTGTGAAAAAGTATTTGTTGTTAACATTCTTTTTTCATTTGGTTTTTCCAGTTACCAGTCCTTTTTTAAAGCTGATCGTTTTGTATTCATTTTGTTTAGTTCTTTTTTCATAACAGATTTAATGTTTAGTATAGAGCTTAGAAAAAATTTGCAGTGTGAGATAGGCAAGAAGTAAAGCATGTAGCAACATCAGCACAGCAAAGGGCACTCATTTAAAGGCAAGAAAGGGCAAAAATATTTTAAGTCAAGTGATAGCAATTGCTGTATGAGTTGTACGATTTTTGAATCAAGCACGGGCAACGCCGGGCCATGCTGCTAGTCAAAGATAAAGTCGATTCACTTGGAATATGATAATGGTAAACAGGTGTATTCTGATGACATACAGGAATGATAGCAATGAAGAATATTAGTAAGAAAATTTATAAAGCGGAAGTACAAATAAAAACACAAATAGATCTAATTATAAACTGTTCATCCCTAGTTGTTATACATGCTCAAATATTCTTTAAAAAACTGCGGTATTTTAAAGGATTTATTTAGGTACCTCCAAAGAAAAAAAAAAAAAAAAAGTAACCGAAGTTTTATCAATTTTTTTACTTTTATTTATTTCTTTTTTTTTTAAAATGAAAAAATAAATCTTGAAGCTTTAATTTTAGCTTTAATTCCAATATTAATTCAATTTAATATTCCCAATCAGCAAACTGTTTGGAATCTTGTTTTTCTACTTATCAGTAAAATCTACAAATTCTGTCTATATTTCTAAGATGAGGTATTATGTACACTATTTACATTATCCGGACTATTGTCCTCATCTTTGTTGCCATATTTATTACAACGTTTCAGTCGTTGTACGCTCCAGCCTTCTTCAGGTGGTTGGAATATCGAACTAAACCCTTTATTTTGCTCACTGGGGTAGACTGTTCTATTTCCAACTAACAGAACAGTCTACCCCAGTGAGCGAAATAAAGGATTCAGTTCGACATTCCAACCACCTGAAGAAGGCTAGAGCATACAACAGCCAAAACATTGTAATAAATATGGCAACAAAGATGAGGACAATAGTCCAAATAATGTAAATAGTATCTACAAATTTATCTATATTGACAGATATGTCAATATAAAATGATTCTCTTTATTAAAAAATCTTTAAAAAAAAAAAAATTTTCTGAAACATTATTTAAGAAAAATTAGCCAATTTAAAGTTTAATCAATCAGAATTGAAACTAACATTACATTTTTTTAGTTTAAAGTATTGTAGAAAAACATTTTAAGCAATCTAATATTTTATTGAATTTTTTGGTACTTTGGTTTTATATTCTTACTCATAAAAATTCTTGCCAAGAAAATGTTTAAAAATTACCAATAAATTTTTAATTTATTATCAGTGCCCCTCTTATTGTCTGATAGTGTCATGCATAGGCATCCATATTTACAAAAATCAACATTTATACACACAAAAAATTATTTTTAAAATATTGGGATCATTGAATCATAGTGAGCTTTTCCATTTATATAACGATATTAATTAACTGTTACAAATTAACATAGAATTTTAAAAGATTTAAAAGTTTATAAATTATTCTAATTGAAATTTTAGAAAAATGTAAACAATTCTTGTAAAATGTTACTATTCATCAAAAAAAAAAAAAAAAAAAAAAAAAAAAAAAAATTTTTAAATAATAGTATCCATAATATATTTTATTCCTAAAAGCAACTAAAAGCTTTTCCAATTAAAAAATATCATATTGCATTTTTTATTTTACCATTCATGGTAGTAAAATAAAAAATGCTTTAAGATATTTTTCAATTGGAAAAGCTTTTAGTTGCTTTTAGGAATAAAATATATTATGGATACTATTATCTTAAAAAATATTTTTTTATTTAACCATTCAGGGTAGTAATGATTTGACAGAGGACAGTAGTTGTCACGTTGAGATCCAAAGATGGATTGGGATGGCCAAGGATGCATTTCAGAAGCTGGGCAGAGTACTGTGAAACAGGAGGATTTCTTTGGTGACAAAGGAAAGAGTACTGAGCTGCTATGTGATGTCTGTCCTCCTTATATGGCAGTAAATGTTGGATTGTATCCTCAAAAATAAAGAAGAGACTTGAGGAGATGTGGTTCTACAGAAGGATGCTAAGGATACCATGGAGCAAGCATGTGAGCAACGATGAGGTCTTGGAGAAGATACAAACAAGGAGGAAGCTTATGCTTAACGTAAGGAAAAGGCAGATGAAATTTCTGGGACATGTAATGAAAAAGGAGGGGCTGGAGAATTTGATACTCACAGGTCAAATAGAGGGGAAAAGACACAAGGGAGAGAATGCATGACATACCTGGCATGCTTGGGCAGGTGGATGGCAAAACATGGTCTGGAGGAGTTGGCAGAAACACAAAACCTATTGAGAGCGACAAAGGTATAAGGGGAAGTGGAGAGACATGTTTGCTTATGTCCTGAAAGCACATGGCACATATAAAGAAAGAAAATTCAGGGTAGTAATTTTGTTATCTATCCTCCTTATCATAATTTTATGATATATTCCTACCACCTCCTCTTCCATTCATTTTGCACAATTTATTCACCATGACCATTTAAAAATAACTCTACTTTTTATAATTTCGAGGATTTTAATACAAGAGTAAATTATTGAACTAGGCCCTGGAATAAAGTCATGCAAAACTTTCAGAGCCCAGACAAAATTTTTATACATCCTAATTTGAAACTATTAGGTTGGTGCAAAAATAATGACGTAATAATGTTGTTTTTTTTATTTTTTTTAAGGTCAAAAAACGACATTATTACGTCATTATTTTTGCACCAACCTAATAGAACTTCAGTAAAAAATTTTGTTTCAGTCACCATGTTATAAACTTGCTCCAAAAATCCTGATTTTCAAAAAGGTAGAAAGTCAAGCACACAAAAATATGTTTATTAGGGCAAAATTTCAAAAATAGACACATTTCATACCACCAAAAAAGAAATTTGAAAAATGTAATGGCTTTGAGGTATCTTCAATTAAGTGAACCCCGTGAGAGATAAAAATTTGATAAACAAGGTAATGGATATATATATATATATATATATATATATATATATATATATATATATATATCTCAATCAGGGATGTGCTGGCAAGGTTGACAGTGTCTACCCTGAATAAAATAGATCAGCAGCTACATTTTCCTTCTGTGGCACAATATGCAACTAATCCAACAAAATTATGAAGGTTACTCTGATTATTATGCCTAAAATGCAAAAATTTTGTTTTTTTGGTTTTTAGATATACTACATAAAGCTGCCTACCATGTGTAATTATTGACAGCGTGTGCTATATATATATATATATATATATATATATACAGAGAGAGAGACAGACAGACAGACAAACAGAAATTGAAACATTGTGATAATAAAAACAAAAATGAAAGCAGTAGCTCTAAAGTAAATAAATTTTAATCATAGAAATCTTTTTATAGTCCCAAATTTTAAAAACATTATTTTCAAAAGGATAGGATTTTTTTTTTCTTTTTGTTCCAAATAAATGTTAATTTAAAAAAATTTATATTTCCATGAAAAAGAGAATATTGTTTAAACGAAAACCCCAAAAGTCAAGAGTTATTCAAAGTACATCTTTTTAAGTACCATGTCTCTTTAGGATGTGAACAGTCATAGCTCTCCACAACTTCCTATCCTTTGTATCCTTACTGTGCCTCTGTTATTCATTTATACAAGATCGTTCAGACTAGTGCCCTCATTTCAGTCAATCGATTCTTTAGGCATACAATGTGGAAAGAAAAAAAGGAGTTCCTTTTCTAAGGAAATAGTTGGTGAATAGGAAAGATAGTGGCTAACAAACAGAATGGTTTGGCTGATTCCCAGCAAGATGAATCATGCAAACACCATTCTCAACAGTAACCCAGGTTGTTTCATATTTAGGCACACAGATTCTCTCCAATTCCTTCCCCACCAAGAAAAGAAATTCACAATAGATTGACATACGCACTTAGTTGAGACGTTAATTTATCCAATTTTTTTTGTGACTCTTCCCACCATCTTATTCCTCAATCAATCATTTGATTGATTGACTGATTTGTGTTTTGCAGGTTATTTAAAGCTAGAAATATCTTTTTAGACTGTAATAATAATGTCCTACTAATTAACTCATAGTTGTGAGGAGAGAAAAGATGGTTTCACAACTTTTCCAAGAGTATTTGAGTGTAAGTGAATATAATAAACTCAACAGGGCTTTTTGATTTACAATTGTAAGCCATTATCCATTACAGCACTCATACATCCACCCTTACAGCACCTGGTCACCCACTGAAGTACTGACCATGCTCAACATTGCTTAACTTCGGGGATCTTATGGGAATTGATGTTTCAATGTGATGTTGCCATAAGCCAATATTTTAAGTAAATATAAAGAACCTGACTGAAATTGGAACTCAGCTCTCTGATTTCCAACTCAGAGCCATTATCTATTACACCCAACAAACATCCAAACTTACAGCATCAGGTATTCCCAAGTAGTTACCCATATAGATACTGACCAGGCTCAACATTGCTTAACTTTGGTGATCTTGCAAGAACCGGTGTTTCAATGTGATATAGCAATATGAATTCTCTTCTCTCCATATTGAATACTATAACAGAAACTAACCAAAGTTGTACAAGCAAAAATAATCCTTTCCCAATTTTTTTTTATTCATAAGCACTTCAGCTTAAAAAAATTTTTTTTTATTAAATTTTATAAATTTATAAATAGGGCGGTCTAGTTTGCTATGTAAATTCATAGTAAATTGACCTCTCTATGGCAGCCAAAACACATCTTTTCTTAAAAATATTTTTTTAAATGTTGAAATTTAGATTAATTTGCAGATTAAGACCTGCGCTCAGTTTGCATTAAAAATTTCCCGAATACTTACATTTAGGTGTAAATGTACATGCTTCATACAAAAATGACTTGATAATTTAAATAAAATCTACTGTTTTGGAGTTATTGACAGTAAAATTTTGGATTCATTCGCGCCGTTAGCAGCAGCCATTACTGATGTTGTTTGCATACATTCATCATGGAAAGCTAAGCGTGGAAGAGAACGTAATTAATGGCCTTGTTTACTGATATTACTTGTCTCAATTACTGCACAAGAGAACTATATTGTGTGTGCAATAATCAAGACAAGTGAATATTCCACAGCAAACAACACCAGTAATGGCTGCCACGACACAAATGAATCCAAACTTTAACTGTCAATAACTTCAAAACGTTAGATTTTATTAAATTTATCAAATCTTTTTTGAATGAAACATGTACATCTACACCTAAATGTAAATATTCGGGAAATTTTTATTGCAAACTGAGCATAAGTCCTAATGTTGCAAATTAACTGAAATTTGTAATCTGGAGTTATTATTATAGTTATGTTTTGCATATCTCTCTGCATAGTAGTAGTCATAGTTCTCTGTGTCCTGAATAGCTACCGGGTTTGGTAGGCATAGCCACTATGTTCGCCAGTTGTTCTCTATTTATACTTGTCTATCTAATTTGTATAAAATACTACAGTTAAGTGCTCCAGATTACAAATTTCAATTTTTTTTTTTTTTTACATTTGTTAATTCCAATGCCTGTGTGAACGACTGCAAAAATGCCCACCACCACCACATCTCCCAAATTTATAGACAAAACACACAGATGCATGCTGGGATTTTTTTCATAGTCAATAGTGTAGGCCACTTCTCGTTCTCATCAGACTTACTCCTGTTCTTTCTTATTGTGAAGCCAGAACACTGTGATTGCTTGTTTGTATCCCCTTTTGTGTGTTAGCACCATTCTTAGTTTTTTGATCTTTTTGCCTCATTGCTGTTAATTTGCCTTGCATTTATTGTTTGTTAAATATTATTTTTGGGCCTTGTTCTCTTTTCTTGTTATTGTTTATTGCAAAATTTGTCAATTTTGTTTGTTGGGCATTTCTGCCAATTACATTTAACCATGACCAATTACTCTACAACATTTTAAGAAATCACACTGTATTTTTGATTGGTTGATTGATTCGTTTTCTACAGTTTATCAATATTTTTAGATCATATATATATTTTTTTTTTTTTTGAGATAATAATAGTTTAGTGATATACATTTTACCAATTAACCCATAGCTGGAGGGAAGAATCTATTTTACATAGAATTAATATTTTTCCAAGGGAAACTACTCTCAAAGGGAAGAAGAGATGGATTCATACTTTTCCGAAGGGTATTTGCATGTAAGTGAATATAATGAACAGGAATTGGAACTCAGCTCTACAATTAACAATTCTGAGTGATTATCTATTACACCGGCCGCACATCCAAACTTACAACACCTGGTATTCCCAAGCAGTCACTCATCTAGATACTGACCAGACTCAACATTGCTTAACTTCGATGATCGTATGGGAGAGTGTTTCAACATGATGTCAGCGTAAGCCTCACATCATATGAGCATATTGTTTTGGCTTCCGTAGAGAGGTCAATTTACAATTAATTTATATAATGATGTAATGGAATAACCTATCACCCCTATGAGTGACTACACTATAGGTAGTAACTACTTATAAGTATCTGTAAGTCAACGGACCACAGAGACTAGCTGGGCTCTGTTGAGTATGACTCAGACTTACACAAGAACTACCAACCTTCCAATGGTAGCACTCACTACTGGATTGACTTGCGACAACTTTGTGCATAACTGTTACCTTTATTCTTATTGTACTGTTTTTTTTTTTACAATAAACCTTTACTTATTTTATCCACCTTGTTTTTCAAGTATATTAGCACGGAAAATAACATAAAAAACTGGAACCTCCTCCATTAAATTTTACAAAATCTAATTTTTTTTTTTTTAGTGATCTTGAATGCTAGTAATTAAAAAAAAAAAAAAATTCTGGTACTAATGCTGATTGTACAATTCCACTCAGAAGAGTTATTCAGTGAAAATATTTTTTCTCCAAAAAATATTTTTGCTGTATGATTTTTTTTCTTATTTTGGAATGAATGTAAATACAATGAGTATAAAGTCGATTTTGACCGGAAACTTCAATTCTCGAGAATCGATTTATTTTAAATCTACTTTACATAGAATTCATATTTTTCCAAGGGAAACTACTCTCGAATAAAGAGAAGAATTAACTCCCCTAGAAAAATAATTACGGTGTTGTTGTTGTAACTTGATAGAATTGGTTTCTCTTTTTTCATTTTTGTTTAATTGATCGTTAAATTATTGTACTTTATTTCTTTTTTTTTTCAAATGCTATATCCCTTCAGGGATGAGGTGTTCATGATTCTCCATTGATTCCTTTTCTTTATTATCTGTGAACTCCCATACATTCTTGGGGACCACAGTGGATTGATTTACAGTTGACTCCTCCACATTTTGAAATTCAGAGTTTCCCTCCTCTTAGAGCCCAGTCTACCCTACTATTTAACCCTATGTGGGAGATAAAGAAGAGATGAATTCATGCCTTTCTCAAAAGTGAACAGACCATTTTCCATTTTCTGTGCTGATAACTGTTACATATCTTTGGTACCTTGACTTTAAGGATTTAAGTGCAGTACTAGATTGGCAGCTAGGTCTCATCATTTTACTGATGAAATTGCTAAAACTTGTGAAACTCTCTTCCGGCTTCTGTCAACTATGATCTTCAAAAATTTAAATGTAGTGTCAATTGTCAACTTCTGCTCTGTTAATTCATGTTTTTTTTAATGTCCTCTCTCCTCAATAATGTTTTCTTAGTTTCTTTCACTCTCATTAACCACTTGCATATTAGTGGCATTACCTGGTTTGGAGTGAGAGAAAAAAAATCTCAAACATACAAGAAGCCGAGCCAAATCCAAGAAACTTCCATTTGGAAAAAAAAAAAAAAATGAAATTCTTTACATTTTTCTTTTTTTACACTCAAAAATAATTTCTGCTTCCAATACTCCAGTCTACTTTGCTTGACAGAATATTCTTCATCAGTAGTTGCTTTTTACTATCGATAGCTTCTTACACTTCTTTTATTATTGAAAATGTTTGTCGTACCAACTAATCAGGCTACAAGTCTTTTTTATGTTTAACCAGTCACCATTTCTTTTTTGCTTAAATTATCATTTATAATTAAAAAAATATTAATAATTTTTTTCCAACAGACTACATCATCATAAGAGCTGTTTCTCATTTTCAGCAGCTTTGCAAATAACTAATAAATCACTCCTTTCCCAATTTCCTTGTCCTTTGTTAACTCACAAAAATGCTGCACACCTTTCAAGCTCTTTAAGGTTTTTACAGAGAATGATAGAAATTTATTGTTAATTCTTTTAATGTTCTTACTCAATGTGTATATTATGATTATTTAAGTCTCTATGGATGTTATTCTTCCATTCAGTATTGATGACAAAATCATTTCCATTATATTTACTGTTTCCAAAACTTGTGTTATCGAACTCTAGCTACCAGTAAAATGGATGTTTTTTCCCCAAAACAAAAAATGGGAGAAAAAAAAAAATTTATCACTCCTCTCTGTTTTAAAATATTTGCCAAAAATCAGGGAATTATACAATTCAAACCAAATTCTCACTGCTTATTCATTAATGAATGAATTATATACTGAACGGGAAAACTTTGTGGAAATCTGGGAAGGGGCTGTTTCACCCCTCTTTTCAGTATTTCATGTGTACTTTTTAATTTGAGGGATGCTCACATTATTTTCTCATAGTTATATAAAGAAAAATTCCTGAAGATATTTCAGTAAAACATTTATATAATATCAAGTATGAACATACTGAAGTTTTGTTCCAAATCTTACCAAAAATAATTTAAAACACAGAAAATGAATTTTTTTGAGGATTGGTGCTTGCATAATTTATTAAAACACATTATTTTCATTCACAATGAACAAAAAAACACAAAAAATCTACACTTGATATTTATTTTACAAAAAATTATGTAATTTTTTTTATGCAATTTTGAAATTCATACTGTTGCTGTTTGTCACAAGAGCTTCTTTTATTAAATAAATTGAAAAATGTAAAGTTTAATGTCATTTTCAAGTGTGAAGCTTTTTAAAAGAATTTTATTTATTTTTTTCTTTTAACAACTGTTAGATTATTTTTTGTATGGATGTACAAAAGGGAAATAATTCTGATTTCTCACCTTTGACCATTCTACAACATTTCATAAAAGCATATAAAATAAAAATTTGTATTCTTAAACTTTTGGTTAAATAGGATTATAATAATTTGTGGACAAAATAAAAATAATTACTTGGAATAATTAAGAAAAAACTCAAAGTGAATGCAATTTACATTATCAAACTTTAAAAATTTTGACCGTATTTTTGTTAGTAGCAACTTTGTTATTTTAATACATTTTCTTAAATTCAGAATAATTTTAAAAAATATAGCATGAAATATGCAAGAAAAAAATTAAGAAATAAAAGCAATGAATTAAACTCATTTTTTAAAAAATACCTATTTCTAATGTATAAAAAATAAAATCATTCATTCTAATAAGTTTAATAAAAGCATATAGAATCAAAAATGATATTCTAAAAATATTGGTTATATAAGGTTAAAGATAATTAATTTTTAAACATAAATACCAATTTCTTGATTATTGCATTGCTGGTATTCCATATTTCTTTAATTTTCATTTTTATTTTTTTTTTGCCCCTTTCAAGTCAAAGGTGTAATTATACAATTTTTGTTATTAACCTCTGACCCCACAGACTACTGTGCATAAATAAATGTTATTTTTGTTAAGTTTTAAATAAAAAGTAAACATAACTTTTATAAAATCCAATTAATTAATCCCTAAATTTACTAAATGATTTTGTAACACATCTCTAGGACATATATCGGAGAAATATTTTTAAGAGTGTTTTAAATTTGTTTACATTTTCCATCTATAATGGCAGCTTGCCTAAAAATGCCTAAAATATTTAATTACATACGGAAATTAATCTTTCTGTTATTACAGATTAGCTTTTCAAATAAAACCAAAACTTAACTTCAAAGAAGAATTTTAAATTATTTAAAATGTGTTTTTCAGCATTTTTCAAGAAATCAATGGTGGTACTTCACATAACTTTCAACGTCCAGAGCCAAAAATGACTGCTTTTCTTTTTCACGAGTTCTCTCACATTAAATGTCCCAACGGTAAAATCTTTATAGCAATTGGAGACATTTACAAAGTTTTAAATAAGAAGTTACCAACTTCTGTTTTAACGGTTGACAACTTTCATTACCTTCTCTGCCAAGAAATTACAACGGTTAAAAATCCAAGGGAGATAACTTTTGTTAATTCACCACAAATGATGTAAAGTTATTTATCGCAAATATTAATTCACCCCAAGAAATTATAAATTTTAAATCAAACTGTTTTTTTTTTCACTAAATTTTTGGCACTCTTTTGAAATTATAAATTTTAAATCAAAATTTGTCTAGCTTGCCTCGCCACAACACCACAATTAAAAATTACTAAAAATCTGTGAGTTATTCACATTTTGTAAGTGCAGATGATATTCGAGGTACTTACAATTTAAAAAAAAAAAAAAAATCTGTTTTTGGCTCGTTTATCAGAGTAAGTGAAAACGAAACCCCCCACACACACACACACACACTTAGAAATACCACACCCTAGTCATCCACATTTGGGGCAATTGCAAAGGTCAATCCAAGTGGAGTGCAATGGAAGGGTGTCACTCTGGAAGAATTTGGTTTGAAAAGATCCAATAACTTTTATATTTATAAAAAAGAAAATATACCCCCCTCCGACTTATTGAATGTCATACTATAATAGTGATGTTCATTCATTTGATCAAATTTTGGGAGGTGGATGCCAAAAACATTTCAGCACTCCTCATTCTAGGAATTTACAAAATGTTTTACTTACAAACAAACAAATTTTTTTTTAAATAAATTAATTTATTTATTATGAAAAAGAATATATAAAAATGAACAGAAAACTTACTCTTGATGTGCAAATAACTTCACGTAAGTTGATATTCATCCAATTGTCACAACTTACTAAATGGCCGTTATAGGTTTCACCATTTTTCAATTCAACCAACTACAAAAACAACACAATAAGAACATCAATATAAACTAGATCTTCAAAGAAAAATTAAAATGAGTATATTATAATCAAGAAACCGTTTTTGGAGCCAAATGTTTCTGCTTAAACCGAGTGGGCAAGCAATTCTTCACAAAATCTAATGAGATTGGCAATCCCACAATTGGCTCTTCTCAGAGTTTCCTAGCATTTTTCATACTTGTCTATTTTTCAAGAAGTTTGATTGCTGACTCATTGTTAACAAGACCGATTACATGTGCTGCCTTTAAAGCCAGAAAAGATGAATTTGACAGGTGACCGGGAACAATTGCCATAGTGTATTCAAGAAAGAGCCTGTTAAAAACATCTTCCTAGACTTGCCCAAAGAAAGGCACCATTCCCAACAGCATTTGGCTGGGGTAAATGGTAAAATTTTGAAGAATTTAAATGCCAAACAACAAATGTTTGGAAGCCATCTTCCCTTGTTTAAACCTAGGCTAGCTACCACAAAGAGTTCTGGTGTGAAACCAATCAAGAAGAAAAATACTGACCTGATTCTGTCTATATTTCTGAGATGAGGCATTATGTACATTATTTACATTATTCGGACTATTGTCCTCATCTTTGTTGCCATATTTATTACAATGTTTCGGCCTTTCAGTATCTGTCTATATTTCTGAGATGAGGCATTATGTACATTATTTACATTATTCGGACTATTGTCCTCATCTTTGTTGCCATATTTATTACAACGTTTCGCCTTTCAGTATCTGTCTATATTTCTGAGATGAGGTATTATGTACATTATTTACATTATTCGGACTATTGTCCTCATCTTTTGTTGCCATATTTATTACAATGTTTTGGCCTTTCAGTATCTGTCTATATTTCTGAGATGAGGTATTATGTACATTATTTACATTATTCGGACTATTGTCCTCATCTTTGTTGCCATATTTATTACAACGTTTGGCCTTTCAGTATCTGTCTATATTTCTGAGATGAGGTATTATGTACATTATTTACATTATTCGGACTATTGTCCTCATCTTTGTTGCCATATTTATTACAACGATCGGCCTTTCAGTATCTGTCTATATTTCTGAGATGAGGTATTATGTACATTATTTACATTATTCGGACTATTGTCCTCATCTTTGTTGCCATATTTATTACAATCGGCCTTTCAGTATCTGTCTATATTTCTGAGATGAGGTATTATGTACATTATTTACATTATTCGGACTATTGTCCTCATCTTTGTTGCCATATTTATTACAATGTTTCGGCCTTTCAGTATCTGTCTATATTTCTGAGATGAGGTATTATGTACATTATTTACATTATTCGGACTATTGTCCTCATCTTTGTCGCCATATTTATTACAACATTTCGGCTTTTCAGTATCTGTCGATATTTCTGAGATAAGGTATTATGTACACTATTTACATTATTCGGACTATTGTCCTCATCTTTGTCGCCATATTTATTACAACATTTCGGCTTTTCAGTATCTGTCTATATTTCTGAGATAAGGTATTATGTACATTATTTACATTATTCGGACTATTGTCCTCATCTTTGTTGCCATATTTATTACAACGTATCAGCCTTTCAGTATCTGTCTATATTTCTGAGATGAGGTATTATGTACACTATTTACATTATTCGGACTATTGTCCTCATCTTTGTTGCCATATTTATCACATGGCACAGTGGATAAAGGCGTTGGTTAGATCCAGTGACAGGACCCAAAGAGTGTGAGTTCAATACCTGGTTAAGGCAGTGGAGAACTTTCAGAGGGAAATTAGCAGGAGATAACTGATAACTGACATCCATCAAACATGGCACGCGGAACTAGAACAGTCTACCCCAGTGAGCGAAATAAAGGGTTCAGTTCAAAATTCCAACCACCTGAAGAAGGCCTGAGTGTACAACAGCCGAAACGTTGTTATAAATATGGTGACAAAAATGAGGACAATAGTCTGAATAATGTAAATAGTGTACTGACCTGATGTTACTTGTGAGAGAATTTGGTTTTATTAGGATTAATTACATACATGAACTTTTAAGATAGTGTAAAAGAAAGTTAACAAATAGGACCAGGTTCATTTTTTCAATTAGTCTTGTAATAATGTTAATGGTAAAATTAGCTATTTACAAACAGGAAATATTCATTAATCACTAAATGAATTATTAGCGTAACTGTCAGGTGAAATTTATAAAATCTTTTTGTCAAAACATTTTTTCAGGAAATCAGAATCCTTGTCCACTGTTATGGGTCGTTCTAATACTGATGGGAGTTTCCTTAAGCTAGTGTGGAACATCAACATCTTGATTATACCATTTTTTTCTCTTCTACTTACATGCTGCCCATTTTTGTTCCTGCTGTTGGAAGAGTTCAAGTGATGTGGCTTTGGTTATTTGCTAAAACTCTTCGTGATTTTGTCTATAGCAGGTGATTCCCAACATGGACCTAAGAAATTTTTAGAATAGATCTGGAGTTGGTCCAAGGAAAATAAGTGGACTTTGAAATTATATATATATATATATATATATATATTTTTTTTTTTTTTTTGCACTGGCATAAAATTATGCTTTACTTAAATTTTAAAGGCAAATAATTCTGCAGCAAATGATGACGGTTTTCTAAACATAACTTAAAAGTGGCACAAGGCCATAAATATGGCGCACCCAATGAGGATCGAACTTACTATTCAGTCATAATTGATCTAGTAAGACAAGCTTGCTAACCATGACACTATGTTGAAGTACCAATTGATTTTCTAAGTGTAACTTGGCAAGCCGATAGATAAACACCAGGAACAGTGTAATCATTAATCAGGATTTATATTTTGTACAATATTTTGCACATTACACTTGACCAAGGCAAATGCTTTGACCTTGACCTTTCCTCCTTGTGTTGCCTACACGCACACCCTGCAATTTAATTTAATCCAGTTTTAATAATTGCCCTAATTAATTTTTAGTTCCTTCTGTGATACGAACTTAGTCATAATACACTTCCTGATTATTTTTATACTTTTATATTTTGCAAATTTCAACTTAAATTTTTTTTTGAGATTTTTAGTATTTTGCAAGACCATAGGTTGTTGCTACACTCACTTTATATAAGAGGGCAACTTCTTGCCAAAGAAACATTTGTCTCTCAACTGGATGCTAGTTGGATTTTCCTATCTACCCTTATATCCAGCACTCTTGGCCTTTACTATTTTCAGCACTCTCTTACTTCAGTCTACCACTGACTCTTCTGGTAATTTTTAGCATTCCCAGCCTTTACTGCTTCAGGCTACCACAGACCCTTACTTCTGGCATTGCTACCTGAATTTCATTTTATAGGCATTTTAGAACATTATTCTAGTATTTGTAGCAAATTCTAGTCAGCTTCAATATTTTAATGAAGATTACTTCTAGGATCTGTAGTTTTAATTTGTTATTTTCTTGGTGTAGTATAGTTGTGTTATCAATCAGTATTTTTCTATACTGTGAATGTGGACAGTAATGTTGGTGTGTAGAGTAATATAAAATTAATCATATATTATACAAAGTACAATACAATCAATTTCATTATTCACAATAACTTCTCCCCATTAACTGATGTATTATGTAAAACCAACTTTATGTATCAATTCAAATGTCCCTTGGAAGAATGTATCTCTGACAGAAAAACAAATATATATGTTGGATATACAACTACATTATCAAGAGGTCTTAATATTTAGAATAATATAACTTACCATTGGATGGTTCACAGCTGTACGCAATAAGGATAAAGGTAACTGAAAGACAAAATAATAGGTAAATTTATAAGTTATATAAAAATAAATTTATAATACAAGTTGACAATCCCATATCCAAACATCTGAAAATCAAATATTTTTAGTGTGGAGTAATCAAAAAGCTAACCTACTTGACCCACACCACTTAGATAAGACATAACAACAAGTGCCATGATCAGCCCGACTCTGACCACCACTCTCCCAACTTGGCTGAACAACCTGAGCCCGCCAAACATCAGTTGTTTTCAAGTGATCATATGGGGTAGATATGAGTGTGCTGTTCGTTGATTTTGTTTCATTTTCAGAATTTTTGGGACTTTATACAGTGAAAATGTCAAAAGAAACTTCAGCTATTTTTAGCTTATCATATGATGCTGTTCATTTTTAAGTTATACAAGGCATTTTTTGTCTAAAATAAAATTTATCCATTACTTATGGTCTTAATTATCCCTCTATGACTCTATAAATAAACTGTAATAATATTTGTAACCGTTTTTTTATTCCCTCGTAGTGTCAGCATTCAATACATTTTTGCTGCAATACTGTTTGAAATTCTGAAAGCCTGAAACATAACTGGCCTCAAGGCTTTCAGATATGGGATTATGTACATGTAAAATAATGGTCATAATAATGTAAAAGTCAACAGAATTTTCTACCAATAAAGTACACGAAAATTGCCGAGAGCAATAATTATTGAATCAGAAAAAAAATAAAGTTTGTAATATTTATCAGATGTCAACTCAGTTTAATAATTTCTCAAACTGAATTGATCACAGAATATTCTGTAATCAATACAATCACTCTTGTTCAAAGTCCTGACGAATAAGAAATCACAGAACTGAGTTGACATTTGATAAGTATTATTGAATTTATTATTTCTGATACAATAAATAAATTTATATATAGACCCAGGCCTGTAGGCATCAATACTATTCAAAAGAAAAAGAAAGAAAAAAAGAGAGATGTCTAATCAATCACATGTATCCAGTAGATATGTTTATGGGGGTACATAATAATGTTGGGTTAGGAAAAAAACAAAGCAGTTTCCCAAATTAAAAAAAAGGGGGTGGGGGCAAACATGGGCCTTCATGTTCACAATAAGACAGTGTCAAAAGGATGGTTTTTCCCAGGACACCATTTCACTCTTTGACAATGTTTTAAAAAGTGATGATTAGAATTTTAGTAAAACTTAAACATATGAAAGTGACACATTATGAAATGGACAAAGTTCGACAATTATTTTAAGTCATTTTTATGTTTATACATTCTTTTTACAGATACAGATATTTAAGTAAATGCTCTGTTTTTATAATAAATCTTATAATAATGTTATTAATACTAGAGCCTTTCTTGTATATATGTACAGCTATAGATGCCCACTGTGCATACATACATACACACACAACTATTTGTTTTATATATATATATATATATATATATACCTTTACACATATATATGTGTCCCCTCATATATAGAGAAATCTATGTAAATATAAATTATATATTTTTTAAACCAATGTTCACCCAGTACAAGGCCAAAGAGCCACTCAAAGTAGTGGATTACTGTGTGGTGTTCTAGGAATGTAAGAAAAGGCAAGAAGTTCATGAGGTTATGATAGAAAAGCAATGGTTAACACCAGACTTGAAGAGGTCAAGACAGTAGCAATCAGGAAAACATCCTCCCGGGTGTCTGTTCCACAATGCAGCAGTTCTTGGGAAGAAGCTGTCCAATGGAACTTACTTCTTCTTAATGGAATATGAAGGGAATAAGGATGATTCATTCATGTGTACATAGGAGGGATAGAAAGGAGATAAGCATCGCTTAGAACAAGAAAAGAAAGTTGTGGAGAGCCATGATTAGCCACACCCTGAAGATATGAAACATAAAAGAAAATACAAAATGACTCTCTCCCTGACGCATTTTTTTCATTCCTTACAATCTAGCTGCTTCCATTATTTCATAAAAGCAAACGAAATTGGTGATAATGACTAGGTAAGAAAAAATGATTTAGGTCAGTTAACTAACAGTTTGACGAAATAACCACCTTTAGAACCTTTGATTTTATTTTTTTACCAACTACTGAATTTTTTGATCAATTCACCCCAAGCAAGGCAATAAAGACAAGATTCTACTGAGAGTGAAAGAGAATGAAATTGAAAAGATTTTAACTAAGGAACTGAAAATCCAATCCTCCAGAAAACAAGTAACCGGTATTATTCCTGTTCAAAAGATAGAAGAGGGGTATGAACCGGGCGATAGAACATATCTACTCCTAGAAAAATGGCTTGTAAATTAAATTTAGCTTCCGCGTATTTTTAAAAAGTGATAAAAGGGTCAAAACTGAAGTTATTTAGCTTCGTTCGCTTCCTGTCAAAATACACTTGACTTGACTAAATGTTAAAGATAATTTTTGGAAATTCGATAAATCAGGTAAAAATGCTGCTTTAATTAACAGAACTGAACATAAAAAAATCGTTTCAACATGTTTTTCGAACTTAAAACACAAAACAAGTGACTAGATTTATAATTCTGCATTTGATTATTTATTTTTATTGAAATTTATGAAAAACAAATTGCAGCGACCAAGGCTCGAACTCATACAATGCCAACGAGACAAGAACATCAAAGTAAAAGGTTAATACGTTTTTTCATTAATCGTTGATCCAGATTTAACCCATTAAATAAATTATAATAAATCTACGTATATATTGCATAGGTATATCGGTACATTCTTTTATAAAAGAAAATATAAGTAGACAACGGATACTAAATTACTTCAACGTTACAAAAATAACAAAATACTGGTCCCGATGTATCTGAATAAATTAAATAAAGTCAATGTGCCATTTATGGAAATAATTATATAACTCTTTATGTTTATACTACAATTAAAGAAAAATGAGGTGGGGGAGTCTTCACAGAACTTACCATTTTTATGAAGTTTCACTTTCTAGGTTTTAACAAATCCTCACATGGGTCGTCGCCATTTGAGTAACATGTAAAGTCGATATCCTTGTTTACGTATTTACAAACTGTCATTTGTGTAGAAAGATAAAATATTTATCATTACAATTTAAAATTAAAAAATAAATAAAAAATTATTTTATTTCATCTTTAAAATTTATTTACTGCTTTTCTTAAAAGAGAATTTGAGGTTTTAATTGTAATAGCTGTGTACGAAAGTAAGCTTTGTCTCTTAACTTGAAACACAACACATGGCGGTGATATTGTAAATCATTGCGAAATTGTCTTTTTTTTTAATACAGAGAAAAACAATTTTTTAAGAAAGTATTTTAAAATGGCAACTGACCAATCCAAAAGGAGTATTGATTCGGGAAAGAGCCATGACCAAATTAATAAGCGTGTTCGGGTGGAAAATGGTAAAGATTCTTCCACGCGAATGACAATCAATTCGTATTATCTTAAGGAAGATTTTATTCACTCTCTCAAAGAAAAATTCCAGCTTCGTTGTGAAAATGAACCGAAAAAGACCACCGAAATTTCTTCCTTGGATGAAAATAAATCTGGACAGTGTAAGTCATTTATTTGTTTTACTATTCAATTGAAGAACTTGCTTTTATTAACTTTCTACTTGCCTTTCTTTTCTTTTTTTTCTTTAGTTTCTCCCAGTTCTGAAGGGAGGGTTGCCTATAAAAACAATTAAAAAATATAAAGATCTTAAAGCATGGATTCTCAACTAATGGAGAATGCTTCCCCACCCCTGGTGTGAATTTCAGAATGGGAGTTGGGGCCACAGATTATCAAAAAAAGTCAATGTTAACTTTCGAACTCCCCAAAGGCTGTACAACCAACAATCGGTCGGCGCAACTGAGAGGTCATGCTGGCTCTTGTGTTTTTTGCCATTACAAAAATAATCCATGTTTGTAAAAAAAAAAAAAATGTATATACGTACTAATATGGAAAAGAATGATTTTCCAGTATGCATATTATTTGGGATGCACTTTGAGTTTGACAATCTTGGAAAGGTGGATGCCACCCTGACTTATTAGGAAAAGGGTGCATTGGGCAAAATAGGTTGAGATTGAGAACCACTGCCGTAAAGTACGTGTTCAATATTATTGTTCTTTGTGTGGTGGAAGTGTAATATTTTTTTGTTTTATGTCAGTTTCGTTCAGGAGGTAAGCGATTATGGCTCCCCACAGATTAATTTTCTTTTTTCTTTTATCATCTGCGTCTAGCTTTGACAGTCCACATTTTTTAATTCGGAGGTTTTCCTGGGTTGTTAGAATATGCATGCTTTTTTTTTTATTATTATTATGAGGGCATTTGTGCGAAAGTGAATGCTACAAAAATAGGGGAGAATTTGAACTCGGCTCGCCGATTCCTGAAGTGTTATGCTACTTACTTAGCAATTAACATTGTCATTAATTATTAATAATTAATAGTATCAAACAAACCAGTCTATATACATTGCAGTGGGATTCTCCAACCATATAAAAATTAAAATTCTCTTCAAGAAGTGTTTTTTTTTTTTTTTTAAAAGAAAACTTGTTGACAGTTTTTGCCACCTGAAAGTATTTTAACAATGTTTTAAAAATAAAATACTTACAATGAGTAAAAGTAAACTAAACAATTGTTCACTAAAAAAAATTATATAGAACATGTTGATAAGTAATATTCTCTACGGTAGTCGGATTTAGCGTTTCAGGCAATTTTTACATCCCAAGTATTTTTATCTCCTTTTAGGGAACGAACAACCTTTATTCAACCTTGTTCATCGTGTATACTCAAAAATGAGCATACTGTACATGATGAAAAAATGCCTCAACCAAAAAAAAACGTAATCGTCAAAAAGAAGAAAAGACCAAAGGATTTTTTTATTATTTTTTAAATCCTTTTTAGAACCTTTATAAAAAATTTATTATTTTTCTTTGAGTGTCTTTTTGCGGTGAAAAGTTTTAATTTGGAAATTCTTGCAAAAATCAGATAATTGTCAAATTTTAATGAAATTTTCAGGACTTATTCACAAATGTCCGATAAGGGAAAGTTACAGTTTGTTCAGTATGTAAAATAAAATCGTTTGAAGCTCTAAAAAACCGACTATATCCAATTTTTTTTATTAAAGGTTATGATGTAAAAAAAAAAAAAAAAAATAAGTTTTGGAGGTAAGTATTATTAAGTTGTTTAGTTTAATGTTTGCTAAGCTGGCTTAGTCTGGCACAGGGCCACTGTTAAACTTGCTCTGTGTTTGAAATATTGGTGAGGTAAGTTTTCTAACAAGGCCAAATGAGGGGAAGATTGTGTTTGTCCCCTCTTCCAAGGCATTATTATTGAGTAATCATTGAACATTTTGTTTACTTTGAGCCAAAAGATCAATTTTGTTTTTGAACTGTCATGCAAATTTGTAATGTTTCTTATTCTCAAGCAACACAATATATGAGACATTCCAACAATTCGCGATATGTTGGTTACACTGAAAATCAGCAGTCCTGACTTCAGTTCCAAGTTCTTTGTGATGTTCTTTTCAGTGTAAAATGCATCGTCCATGTTTTGAAGGGTGCAACACATAGGTGTTGCACCCTTCAAAACGTGGACGATCATGGCTCTCCACAACCACTTGTCTTTTGTAGTTCTTAGTAAAGTTTGTTTTTTTGCTATCTCTCCTAACCCCTATTCTTCCAACCATTTTTACACAAGCTCCTTTTTCTTTTATGTACCGTGTCCCTTCAGGATATAAACGATTATGGCTCTCCACAATTTCCTAGTCTATGTAGCTCTCAATAAAGCTTGTCTTTTTGCTATCTCTCCTAATCCCTGTTCTGCCAACCATTTACACAAGCTTGTTCTGTAGGTTATACATCCCTCTCTCTCTCTCTCTCTCTCTCTCTTGCCTTCAATATGTCTTGGGATTGTCAGATTCTCCAAACCCTCTTGCCTCTTATATGCTCTAGAAATTTCAGTTGTCTTTTTCTGATTCTAAGTATCCATTTTGTTTCCATTTTCCCTAAAACTTCCTTGTTGCTCATATTTTCTATGGGATTCTCAGCATCCTGCTGTAGAATCAAATTTCTGTTTCAAGTCTCCTCTTCATCTGTGAGAAGATTGTCTAGCATTCACTGACATATAGGAGGACCAATATTACATAACTGTTCAGTACTCTTTTCTTTGTTTCTAATAATTTTCCTGTTCCTTAATATTTTGCTTAGCTTTTGGAAGGCATTTTTCGCTGTCTCAATGTACCTTTAGATTTCGGTAATACTTTTCCATTCTCTGTTAAAACAATTCTTAAATATTTAAATTTTTTGTTATTGCTTGATTTTGGCATCTCCACTCACATGTTGGGAAGTTCTTTTTGCTGACAATCATGCATTCTGTCTTCTTACAATTGATATTTTGTTCTTTCTTTTCACTTTCCTTTACTAGCTTCTTTGGGCATTCCTACAGTGTCCTTTCTGTATCTAAATATTCTGCGGTATAGTTTCTATTTCTCGTACCATCTGCACGTATGTTGTAGATTTTATAGTCATTAGAAAATCCTAAAAAGTTTAAGTGCAAATTCCTAACCATTCTTGAGAATGGTTAGGAATTTGCACTTAAAAGAATTGCAGTTGAAATTTTGCTGAATCAGCATTTTCTGTCAATGGACATTTGTTTTCAAACTCCATGATCTCAAAAAAACCCTTATATCTTCTGATCCACTGGCCAGAAATTAACAAAATTTGACACCCTTAAAGATTTTTAGTCAAGGAATCCAAATATCCCTTTAGAATTGTACAGGGAGTAACCAGAAAATAGACATTAGCAGTTTTATGGTGTGGGGATGAAGATTTTTGGTGAACGGCCACATGGAAAAATTGGAAAATACCACTAAAAGTAGAATTGATATTTCACAATTTTTCAATGTGGTCATCCACCTAAAACTGCTAATATCTACTTTCTGGTTACTCTAAAGGGATATTTGGATACCTTGACTAATAATCTGTAAGAGTATCAAATTTCATTTATTTCTGGCCAGTGAATCATAAGATATAAGGTTTGTCATGAGTTTGTCAAGTTCTAAAATGTCCATCAACGGAAATGACAATTCAGCAAAATTTCAACTTGTGATATCTTGAGAATGGTCAGAAATTTTCACTTAAAATGTACAGGAATTTCTAATGACTATAAGATCTACAACATATATCAAAATTAAAAAAGAAATATTTTGGGGGGTTACTTTTTTTGTTGAACTGACATGGAATGACCCCTTTCTGTTTTTGTGTATATACTGAAATCATTTTCTATCTGTTGTGGGAATGGTTTGAAAGTAAGCTTAAATAAATGTTAAATCACATCCTGTTTGGTGATCCAATTTGTTTATGAGCATGTTTTCACTGTGACATAAAAAAGAAAAATAACAGATCATCAAGAGTTGTTCTTAGCCTAACTCAATTAAATTGCAACTTCCAGTACAAGTGTAAAGTTTGAATTTGCAATCACCCAAATCAAAACAATTCAGCTGAAAAGAATCATATCAAGAAACATTTTTAAACGTTATCTATTTTTCTTCAAGTTATTTTATGACAAAATACTTAAATATCATTTCATTGAATTCTATAATTATGAATCCAGTAACCGTTAGGGTCGGAGAGGCACCACAAGCACTGTGTCTGTGATAGTAATGGCAAGATAGGTTGAGCTGAGTATGACACTAAGCTACATCTGGCAGCAAGGCCTCTGATCTGGAGGTTTTGAGGAGCATGGAACTACATTTTAATTGCTGTTGTTCTTGGGGTGGTAGCACCTGTTAAGGCCCCAGCTATCAGTTAACTCCCCCAACCTGGGGTCAAAACTCTATGAAAAAAAATGGGTTTTTATAGTAAAGGCAGCAGCAATACATTCTTTTAAAAAAGGTTTTTTGAGGTTGATATGACATAAAACAAAATAAACCAAACCTAGGTTGACAGAGCGCCTTACTTAATAGTCTACCCTATTATTTACAAGCACATGAATTAAATAGTTATCCTTCTCTTAAACTGACTGCTACCTAAGATGAGAGACTAGCCTGTCCTAGCTGAAAGAATCTGAATTCATCCCTTTTTCCCAAAGATTCCACTTTCTGTGACAATAACAGTTACGCAATGATAGACAGGCAAATAAAATGGCATATGAAGTTCTTACTATTGAATCAAAACTGTTTTTTTAATTTTTGTCTTTGTCTTTAACTTCAGGTGATCTCACTTCACAGTTCCTTCATTCCTCTCCATTTGTCCACTGTGTGTTACCAGAGTTGATTCGAGAAGATCATTATCTTGACAGACTCCAAGGAGAATTGCAAGAACTCACCTTTAATGAGAAGAATAATGACTTGTATAATTTTCATCAGGTAACTTAAACTTGTTCATACTGAGTTAATCAAGGAAAAGTGGAATGCCGTGATTCTGAGGAAAGTGGCATTTGAACAAAATGCCTCTTTCCTCAGAATCACTGCACCCTGGGCAAGACAATAAAGCCACTAAGATTGGGGGTGGTAACTGAGTGTGAGAGAATATGAGAAAAAGAAAACATTGAGGGAATGTTATACTATGGCCACATAGAAAGCAGAGAGGTTGTTTTATCTCAATTTGTAGTGTTTCTGTTTGATCAGATAATTCCTTTTGAAGTTGCATCTTCTAAGTGACACCCTGAAGGAAAAGGGTTGGTTTTAAGTTTGACACTGCCGTCCCAAGTATAATGAGAAAGATAGATTCCTATAGTCTTTCTTAGTTTCCGACAATACGCACACCCGAACCATATGACCAACTCAAGGACAAAAGAAAAGGACCCCCCACCACCACCACCACCTGCGAGATTGCTCATTTTATATCAGTTCTAACTGGCCGAAATTTGCATATGTTACACGTCCGTGACTCATAAATAACACCCCCAAAGACACTCGTACTTTTATTGTTAACTTCCAGCACTCTGCAGGCGAAACGCATTCGTGCTCGTTTCAGATTCTAAGGTAGGCCATTTTTTTTCTCCTTGTTCGTCCAGCATTTCATTTAGCCAGGGATTGTTGCTACATTTGCGTAAGCGTCCACTAGTCTGCTTACATATCACGCATGCCACTCGTTGCTTCTTAGAACGGCAAACTATAGTCAGTTCAGCAGAACCCACAGACCTGCTTGCCTTTCAGTTTCACTACACATCCACTTTGACTAAAGAGGAACAGGAAGTAAAGGATGGGATGGGGATCATGTGGCAACAAAACTGGAAATAGGGTATATCCGGGTGTTGGTCAAAGGGTCATGTTTGGGATCAGGGAGAGTTATGGTCTACCCTTGACTGGTAATGGATTTGTCCTTTCTATAATTCCTTGCAATTCATTTGTATTAACAGCTACAACATTGGGATGAGTAGATGGATAGGGAAAAGAGCTGAAAATAGCAGAAAGTATCATGTACCCATCTGAAACAATCAGGCAAAGCCCTGAATAAAACATCTCTCTATAATGTGACATCCTGGGTATGACAATAAACTACATCTGTGTCCTGGGTAAAATGATAAACTACATCCAACAGCATGGGACCGCCTATAAACTGGTGTTCCCAGGTACTCTGACCTGGGGTGGTGGCACACTTTGGGGTCCTAGCTATGGGTAGGTGGTTGACCCTCAAACTAAGGTCTAAACACTATGAAAGCATAAAAATAGGTTTTAATACCAGAAATACTTTGTAAAAAATTATTACCAGATATACATTAACATTATTACCAGCAATAAATTTAAAAAAAAAAAAAAATGACCAACAATAAAAACCTCATAGGCATTTAATGACCCATTGTGGTTGATATGCCGTAAAACAAATCAAACCAAACCAGCTATACATTTTTTTAAAAAAATTACCTGCTATGCATTTTTGAAAAGAATATTACCAGCAATAGATTTTTTAAGAAAAAATATTACCAGAAATAAATATTGTCGGCATTAAATAACCCATTGAGGTTGATATGCCATAAAACAAACCAAACCAATCCATATGGTGTGGGGAAACCAAATTTGTGTTCTTATTTCTCAGCATGGTGTTCATCTTTCATCAGATTGCCTTGTGTGCATGCACTTTCCCCATCTTTCAGTGCACATGATCGAAAATCAAAATGCAATGTACCTTAATCCTTGGCTGGTCAGGTGGAGAAGCTCAGGATCGCATTGAGAAAGAGAAAAGAACAGAAATTAAGAAAACGGAAGATAATGATTGAATTCAATTTTTTTTTTTTTTTTTTTTTTTTTTTTTTGGAGTGGGGTGGGGTCAAAGTTCACTGGAAAACAAAGAGCCGGAAAGGAGTTTCACATTATGTCGAAAGTATCCTTCAGTAAACAGAAAAGGTGTTATTCTTCAGCCTGGCAGTTGCAAAGGCTCACTCTGCAAAACCAACCCAAGAAATTAGGATGGGAGGTTCTTTGACATTCTTCATGCTCACCAAATTTAGCACCTACAGATTTTCATTTTTTTTCAATCACTTGAACATTCTGTAAGTAGCAGAACATTCAAAAACAAAGATATGTCGAAAAATTTACGTTCCAACTGGGATGCGGCCATTGAAAAAGATGGTTACATTTTTTATTAATATTTAAATAAATTTAATTTGGTTGTTTTTCTTTCTAAACACCCTTGTATTTTACCAACTTGTCTACATTTTCCCAGTGTTCTTTCATTTTGAGTTTTTTTTTTGTTTTTTTTGTCTGTGTCAGAGTTCAGACCTCAAACATGCTTCAGGACGACAGATTGCAGCTCTGAGGTAAGAACTAAAATTAATGCCTTCAGTTAATATTTGCTTGCAACATTATGTCTTAATATTGTTACAATCATTTTATACATACAAATTATTTCGTTTATTGGGAAATGGGAAATTTAATTTTTTTTTTTTTTTTTTTTTTTTTATAAGAATATAAAAAGTATTAGGTCAGACCAATAGACAGATATTTTAAGAGAGTGCTCAATACACAAGTCCGAAAAATTAAACGTGTAAAGTGGATAATATAAAAAATTTGAAAAAAAAAATTCACCCTCAACATTCCTCAGGTTTCAACCTTATAGTCTCATCAGATGATTTTTGCTAAATAATCCAGGTAGTGTTGATGGTGAAATGTTTTGTATTACACATGCGCGCGCACACACACACACATATATATATATACATACTTGTTTAAAAGCCGCCCTATCAGACACCATTTAAACAAGATTCTGCAGAGCGTTCATCACAAGGAGTAGATGTGATAAGCAACAATAAACTACAGAAGAACTCAAAATTGATTGCTGCATTTAAGTATTGCATTAATATTTAAGCCTACCTTTTAAAAGTTCAATGATAATTCTTCTGCCGCCACTTAATTTAAAGACAATTTGATGTAAATGGATCCTTACTTTCCATACAAACAATTACTTTTATTTCACAAGTTACTTTCACTGGATATCCCAATTAATTTTGATTATTCCCAAATTATAAAATTTGTTATCATACAAAAAAATTTGTCGCAAAAAACCACAGTAATGAAAATTTGGGAATGCAAAATTTCAAGATTACAGGTCCAGATCTGGCCCAGAATGTTTTTAATTTGCTCACAGAGTTGGCCCAATTCCAAAATGGTATATGTTGGGCTATGGCCTCTAGGAGTAAAGTTGAAAAAGTGTGACACACTGACATTCACATTTATATTATATATATATATATATATATATATATATATATATATATAATTAAATAAAAGAATACTAATCACTTATGCTACGATGGTTTTCACTGATATGGTTTCGTCGGGCAATAGAGGTTAATATACTTCCCGATGCTTTTTATATGTATTTGTACATTTTCAACAGGAAGTACAATGGAAGGGGAGGAGCAGAGCAAGAGTAGAGGGACTGGAAGGAGAGGGAGAGAAAAAATTGTACATGTACTCTTATCCGGGTTCATGCATACCCAAAATGTATTTTATAGTGTGCTTGCAGCCTGACATCACTTCAGAATTTTCATTTAAAAGCTTATTTTAGTCGAGATACAATATGATTTCTAATTTCTCCTGATATAATCTGCACATTGTATCTCCAATTTTGCAAGGCTTAACATTCTTTAAAATGCTCCAATGGGCTTTCTCCATCTTTCTCTTTTACTTTCCACACATAGCTGGCCAGTTTTGTACAATTATAGTTTTATTGGGCAAGTCTGGATAAAACTGTTTTATTATTTTATATATATATAAATATATATAATTCACTTTGCTCGAAAATTTAGAAACAGCATGCTGTACTGCCAATACAAACATTTCAGAGATTGTGTGGGTGTCAATCTGAGGACAGGGCTGAGAATTTGGAAAGAGTTGGATGAGTCAAATGTGACTACAAAGGTACAGCAGCTCGGAAAACTCACTCTTATCATTCTGATAAGAAAAGAACTCCCAAATTTGTGAGGGCCTCAGTCTCAACACAGAGGCCTATCTCAAGTGCCTTGAGGAGGTAGTGCTGCCCTGGGTGAAGAGGGTGGCTGTTGGAAGACCCTATATCTGGCAACAGGATTCTGCACCATGACCTACACACAGGAGAACACAATCAGTCAGACAAATTCTGTGACCACATCACTCCTTACATCTTGCCACCTATCTCCCCAGATTGCCAACCCTTTCATTATTATATGTGGGGCGCAGTTGAGCGGGAGACCAACAAAACTCCTTGTAACACCAAAGACAAAATGAAGGCAAAGATTATGGCAACTTAAACAAGGAGACTGTCCAAAAGATTTACAGGAGATGCTGAAGCCGCCTGGAGGCAGTGGTTGAAGCCAATGGTGATTTTATTGAATAAATTTACTCTTTAGTATTTCAAGATATTTTTGTGTAATTTTGATAAATATATCTTTTAAAATGACATGTCAGTGTTATTTTCATTTTTGTGTAATTTAGACGACAATTTATCCATCGCACCTCGTGTACACGTGTGTGTAAGACTTGTATGCGACAAATTCTCGTAGTTGTTTTATAATTATTTGATGGGAAAGTAGAATGTTATTTATTTCCTTGAATATTCAGGAAGTATTGACCATAAACAAGAAAAATTTTTTTTGTATTTTATTAACACAAAGCAATTGCAAAATTTTCATGGCAGGCATTGTTCTTCATGATGACGGTCGTCTTTGAATATAGAATCCAGAGGTTAGCAGTGAATATTTCGAAAACAGTAGGAAAGCGTTGTTCAGGTTAGCAGTGGATATTTTGGTAAAAGTAGCAGAGCGTAGTTCGTCCTTCTGTTATCTCTTTGCCTGACAAGCTGGACTGGACATTCGGGTAGAGTAGACAAAATGGCGCCTTTTATACATACCATTTGGATTGAATATTCCACGTCTTCTGATTGGTTAACCTTCTATTGGTGGACTATAAAGTGAGTCAAGTCATTTGGGCTAACTCACTAGTATATATACACAAAAAACTGCAACAGGCATATGGTAATTTTTATATTTGACAAATATTTTCAAAAGTTTACAACATATCCAGCTATTTTGAAAATTTCAAGATTCAGTAGAACAGCTGATGTAACCTGGTGAGCAATCAGAGGGAACTTTTCTGTGCATGCATGTGCAGACACTCTCCTGCTGGGTTGCTCAGTCAGCAGAGAGATGAGTTTACATTCACAATGGCCAAGTGAGTAAATTCTTCATGTCTTGTACAGTCTTTTTTTGATATCACATCCTTAACCCACCACCACCACCCACACTTTTTCCCCAACCCCCAAAGTCCAGGTTTGGTTCTTAGTACATTCTGGCCTTCGTGTGAGATTAAAGTGAGAATGACACTGTATTTGCTGGTGACCTTGAAAGAGAATTTTACAAGCTGCTTTTGAAAAGTGGCAAGTGTGCTAAAGTGTGTGAGATCCTAAAGTGAGTAAGTCTAAAATGACTAAAATGCCATTGGCCTTAGTTGGATGTTAACATTTTCTCCCCTCCTACTAATAGATTATACATTCCAACTGCTTGCAGCCATATCACATTGAAACACTGGTTCTTTTGTACAGTCACCAAAGTTAAGCAATGTCAATCCTGGTCAGTACCTAGATGGGTGACCATTTGGGAATACCAGGTGATGTAAGCTTGGATGTGTGAGTGGTGTAATGGATAATAGCTCAAAGAAATCTGATAGCCGAGTTCCAATTCTGTTTGGGTTCGTTACATTCACTTACATGGGAAAGGTAATGAATCCACCTCTTCTCTCTCCCCCCAGCTATGGGTTAATTAGTAGGACTTTTATCAGTAAATGATTATCTCCTCAAAAAAAAATCTTGGGATTCAGAAATGTTTTCTGACTTTGAATAACCTGCAAAAGGTTGATAAGCTGTAAAAAATAAAAATAAAAAATCAATGTCTACTTTCCAGGTAGACCTCATAAGTTTACATTGCAATTCTGTATTGATATCTATTTTTATTAACATGCTTATAAGGGAAAGTGAGACATTATTATTAATTTTTTAGTGGTCTTTGTTTCATCTTCTGTTGCTTTTTTATTGCAACTCATTTTGTGAACTTTTTAAATAACTGATATGGGTGAAACATTGAGAATAGATGTCTGGTGGGATTTAGTATTTTTTACAACTAAAATATTTTCTGGTTTTTTGCATCTGTATTTTGTTTTTTGTATATTTAGCAAATATTAAACAAACTGTAATGTAGGATGCAGTTTTTGACTTAAACCTTGTGAACGTAAAAATAAAAAACAAAACAATGTGTATAGATGATACAAATGGTATCAAACGTAAAGAAACTGTAAAGTTATAAAAAATACAAAAGTTGCCTAAAGAAAGATGAAAAGGTTGCAAAATTAATTACAGGCCAACTAACGACCTGCTCGATTTACATGCTGTCAGTTGTAACCAATCATGGTTGTAAGTCAGTGATGACCTGCATGTATAAATCAGTCATGGGCCACATGTGGCTCAATTGGCTTTTTGAGTGGCACACTTAATTTCCTGAGGAAAATAACATTTAAAATGTTTGTTTTCTTTTGTTCTCTTTTGTCACTCAAACACTCTAATGCATAACTACATACAGAAATAATGATTAAATACATTCTATAATTTTGTAAACTTTTTATTGAAGCTAATTTTGTCAGCATTTTAAACCATTGGCTATTTTCACTAAGGAAGATCATACATGTAAACATCTTTTACTTCAGAAACAGGAAACATCAATGATAATGATTTTTCTCAAGAAAATGGATTTTTTTTTTTTTTTTTAAACAAATGTTTTTGTATACTCAAATGAATAAATTAGAAACAAAACACAAGCAGCACTGTGTTTGTTAACCACTCTGTCATCAGTGATATTGTAGCAAGACTTCAGTTTTTTTTGTTGTTATTATAGAAAGTATCTTTTCTCCAAAGAAAAAGAAATGTAAGGCAGATGCTTATGTACATGGTCTTTTGCTGGGGAAAATGGCTGGGGTATCTTCAATGAAAAATTACTTTTTTTAATTGTGCAGCCCACCTTATGATGGGCTGTACCTCCTACAGTGCACTGTTTGAAAATGGCTACCCATGCAGAAATAAACTCATAAAAATTTCTTACTTTTTTTTTCTTTTTTTCCTAGAAATCTTTTCTACAAAGATATTTTACAATGGATGAAGAAAGTAACTGGCATTGAATTGTCAGAAGATGTGGACTTGTTTTGCTCAATATATGAATACACTGGTAAGTTTCTGTTGAGTAAAATGGTAAAATGTAAATCAATAGAAGAACTGTTCAACAAACATAAGTGTCAAAGTTTATAATAAGCAATAAAAAGAAAAAGAAAAGCGCAAAAATAATATAAAGCAAGCAAACAATATATGCAATGTGAATTAACAGTAATTTGCCAGAAAGTTCACAAATTAAGAATTGGGGTTGACACACAAGGACAAGTTTGGATAAGCAAACTTATCATACTGACTTCAAGACAGACTGGGACTGAGTTTGCTGAAACCGACAATTGGCCTATCTTATTAGCTAGGAAGAAATCCCAGCATGCATTTGTGTGCTTTTGCCTATAAAATGGATAGGGGAAATTGCTTTGCAGTCTTCCCTGGCACAATTGGAACCAGCGGTTTGTCACATCCATTCTTCTCTCAGAATTTCTAAGCAAGGCCCACCTTGCTTATGCTAAATTCATCCTGGTTCTGCTTCAAGAAAAAACATGGTTATGTATGTATGCAGTAAACGTTAATAATCTCGTGTTGTGTATAAGACAACATATCTTGATGCCTGCAACAAAACGTTTGAGCTTGTAAATGAAACTGCTTTTTTTTTTTTTTTTTTTTTTTTTTTTTTTTTTTTTGCCTGTCTGTATGTTTATTATATATTATGCACCCTGTGGTTCATTGATTCTAAAGAAAATAAAATGAGTCTTTTATTTACTACATTTTGACTTTTTCATCATGTTTTAAAAGCATGTTGTCTTGCCTCTCTCCTACAGATACTAATCTCTTCCTTAGCAATTCCTTAAAAAACAGTCATTACCAATAAAAAAAAAAAAATTACCAATTTTCTCTTCAATTTCTGCAGACCAACAGCATCATCTCTCTGTTTTTTTCTCTTTTTTTCTTTTTCTTTTTTTTCCTTTTTTCTTTTTTTTTTTTTTTTTTTTTTCTTTCTCTTTTAATCTTTTTACTCTCTTGTGCCTAATAAGTCAGACTGGGGGTGAAATTTCTTGCCAATTCTTTGCAATGATGGGGTCTAAATAAATTGGTATCATTACTACCTTCTGTTTCAAGACAAAATTTGGATGAAGTGTAAAGGGAAACAAACTTTTTAAGTTGCAGAGGTCATAATAAGTAGATATAGTTGTTAAAAAAAAAAATCTAGTGTAATATGCTTGATCTCTATTCTATTTCTGATGCTTGATTCTCTTTTTACAGATGTTTTATTATGCCATGATGATGAACTGGAAAGAAGACGAATTGCGTTTATTTTGTATCTTGTTCCTCCTTGGTTATCAACTGATGGTGGCTCATTGGATTTGTTTGGGACAAATGGTAAGAACTTCTCTTTGATGACAGATCTGGTTGTCATGATTTACAAAGTGGCAATAATAAATTTACATTATAACAATAAGTAAATAGTGTCTGTGTAACAAGTTTTAAAAAAAATGTCTTTTGAAATTGTTCTCTTTTATAGATTTCCACAGTTTGGGATAAAATGGATATTGATGTCATTTTCTCTTCAAAAGAATTTGAACCAAAAGTTGCATTATGCCTGCCTTTATTTACACACACACACACACACACACACACACACACACACACACACACACACAAACAAAAAAAAACCCCTGTAAAAACAAAAAAACCCCTGTAAAGTGGTAATTTCAAAATATGGAACAACATAAAAGCAGCCTAATCAGTTTATCAGTGTCTCTTATTGGGCTTAATCAAGGACAAGAAATGTAACTAAAGACTAAGTTTTGTACATGATTACATTTAATTCTAACAGCCAGTCCTCTCTTTCTGTATATGCCAATTTGAGATTGACTTTTATTGGTTTTAAAAAAACTGGGCAATTTTCTAGTTTAACATCCCATATTATGCCTGCAAAAAGTTCGTTATCAAATCTAATAAAAACAAATAAAATAAAAAAGCCAACACTTCGTCAGATATTTTAAATATAATTTAATAAATACATAAATTAATTTCGCTAAATAAAATAATAATTTCATAAAAAAAAAAAATTCAGTAACAACATTTACTCACTTTCATTTATCAGATACTAGCAGTAAAGCCTGGCGTTGCCCGGGGATGTAACAGTAAGAGATAGATCAAGTATCGACCATCATAAAGACTGAAAAATAAAATTGACAAAGATTATTGTTCAAGGTTGACGGACACACGTCTTAATTTTTTTTTTTTTTTTTTTACGAATTGGTCAAACTCAAACAAAAACATTGTTTTCAATCGTTATGAGTCTATTGAGTGAATAAAATTTTATTATAAACAATTGTCTTGTAAATGGAATTTTTAAAGCATTCTGAATGTAAAAATAAAGAAAAAAGTGTGCAAGACAATAAGAAACACTACCTGCCAAAAAAAGTGAAGTTTTGTTGAAATCGGTTGAAAAATGTAGGAAATCCGATCCCATATATAAACAAACACACACACAAACAAACAACATGGGTTTTATAATAAGTATAACTCGATATGAGTTGTCCCCCTTTCATTCTGGCAACAGAATCGTATTTTCAAATTGATTTTGTGCAAAAACAATTGTTTTTCCAATTTTTTGTCACAACCACCGCAAGGTAATTTTACGCATTTTAGTTTTGTTGAAATCGGTTGAAAAATGTAGGAAATCCGATCCAATATATGAACGTACAGACACACACACACACACACACACACACAATCTGTGTTTTTATAATAAGTAGGATTAAATTATATCACTTAGCATCTTTCATAGTTTACCTTTAGTTTCATTTACCCTGAAGTATATTTATGGATATTCTTAAATTGAAATTTTTTTAAAAAACTAACATTTTTACTTCTCCTTATGTTGCAAAATAAAATCCTTACATTTGCCTTGATAAAGTCCATCAGAGGGCAAAATACGTCGGTAAAGATAAGTTTTCTTGTCTTTATTCCTAAGTGGATTTAATTTAAAAGCATATATCCAAGGGTATGCTTTTTTTTTTTTCTTGTTTTAATTGTATGAATAAAAAGACTAAAAAGTATTTTATGTTTCTTAAAAAGACTGAAAACTAAGTTGATAGTATTTCATAGCAGTGGAGTGTTTTCACAGAAAGTAGTGTAATAATTTGGGAAGTATAAGACTGAGGAAAGTTGGCCAAGCTGAAATATTTACTCTTTAACCTTGGGCACATTAACCTGGCATAATGGTTAACAAGCTTGTCTCACTGGTTCATTTACAACTGAGTAGTGGGTTCAATCCTCAGTTGAGTGCTCCATATTTGCAGCTTTGTATCACATCTACACTTAGTAAATCATTATTTACTCTTTAACCTGAGAAGAATTGGTGCCAATTTAGCATGCGTCGTACTGATCAGATTCTGCTTCAGTTTGTATTCTACATTATTAAGTGATTGTCTCAACTTTTTTTTTCTCAATATGTTAAGACAGTCGAAATTTTTGTTATGTAAAAGATTCAAATATCTTGTTTTATGATTTTTTCGTCAAATTTCTTATTTTATAATTGTTCTTATTTTAAATTTTATAATACAACAATAAATGGCCCCCCCATCATTCCGTTTTTGCTCTTCCCCTTATGTTGGATAATGTAGGATACAAATGTGGTACTAGGATACACTGATCGGTAGGGCATACGCTAAAGTGGTACCCAAAAATCTTCACTAGAAACAAAAGTAATTAAAAATATCCTAGCATAGGATATATATTATTACTACTGACTCTTGGTGGATATAAATACTTCCCTAGGTGTGCGTTTTATTGTTGTTTTTTTTTTTTTTTTTTTGTATATTTTCGTCCACTGGCCTGAGATTTTCAAGAGAATGGGTGTTCTTTGGCAGGATGCAAACCTGCATCTCCCATATGTATGGCATATCTATGGAGGCATCAGTTTATCTTGTGGAATAAAGGTAGCACCCTTTTTGGCCCAAATTCCGTCTTTTGATGGTGAGGCTTCTTGGTGGGATGGGTGCTCTACCAATATTACATCCACCCCTACACCTTTGACCAGATCAAAAATATCCAAAGGAATACAGGGTGTTACATTTAGGGCCAGCTTGGTTACAGGAGTTTCCCGAAGTTCGACAGGGCTCCACTTGGAGTTTCTGTTTCAATTTACTTCCATAGCCTTTTTCAAATTTGAATGTAATTCAAGGGAGTGAGGGTTTTAAAATTGGGGTTTTCCTTCCCCTGGATGAACTATCTTCCCAAGCTGATGAACTCCATCTACCTGAAAGGGGAAATATATATATATATATATATAAGTTCAAAGGACTTATCTTTTGATTTCAAGTTTCGCATACACCATTCTGCTTGTTAGGATAAAGTTGCTGGTTTAAGCTTTAAATATTGTCTTGTTTTTTGTTGTTGTTTGAAAAGAGTTTAATTTGTGACTTGCCTAAATACATCACTCTTGATTCTCTCTCCAACCAACCCCGTCCTTGCTTCTAGCCCCATAATCTCAACTTTTTTGCAGGCAATTATTTTATTTGATTGTTTTGACTGCTGCTTCTTTCTTTCTTTTTTTTTTTTTTTTTTTTTTCAGATTTTGGCCAACCTGTAAAAGTGGAGAAATCCATCTACCCAACTTGGAACCAGTTTACATTCTTTGAAGTTTCACCAAAGTCTTTTCATCAGGTCAGTATTATTATAATTATTATTATTATTATGCACATGAGGCTGAGTTGTTGGGACATTCACTTTCTAACCATGAGACCGGGGTTTGAATTCCACCATCAGGAAGTTGAGCTCTTGATGTTATCGTCCTGAGAAGGCAGTTCAAACATGTGACACCTTGGGAAAGTGCCTGGAAACCATGCTATTGACCCTGTGAGTAAAATTGGCTAGGTGGAACTGTTCAGAGACCATTGATAGATTCACTAGCATAAAGTTATAAATCATCGTGACCTAGTGTCTGGGCATACTGCCCTTATTCAAAACTGTTGATCAAACCAGATTATGCACTCTCTCCCAGAAACTAAGATCCACTCAGCATAGTTGCAGTATAAACCACAGGTGAGCTCTGTTAGAGTTTAAGAAAATATAAATGTGTCTGAACAGGTGTCTGCAAACAAGGATTGGCTAGCTTTCCAAACTGACATAATTATTATTATGATGATTAGGATGTAAAATTTCTGTCTATATTTCTGAGATGAGGTATTATGTACACTATTTACATTATTTGGACTATTGTCCTCATCTTTGTCGCCATATTTATTACAACATTTTGTCTGTTGTATGCTCCAGCCTTCTTCAGGTAGTTGGAATGTCGAACTGAACCCTTTATTTCACTCACAGGGGTAGACTGTTCTAGTTCCACATGCCATGTTTAATGGATGTCAGTTATCAGTTAATTCCCCTCTCCAAGTTCTCCACTGCTTTAACCAGGTATTGAACTCGCACTGTTTGGGTCCTGTCACTGGATCTAACCAACACCTTTATCCACTGTGCCAAAATGTTGTAATAAATATGGCGACAAATATGAGGAGAATAGTATGAATAATGTAAATAGTGTAAAATTTTTCTTCAAGAAATGGATTTTTATGAGAGAAAAAATCTTAAATGGTAAAATTTAAGTAAATGTAATTGTTCACATTTGAATCCTGACCCAATGATGAGTACAGGTGTCCCACCCTGGGTCCCTACTGTCTATGACTCTGGCTGGTATAATGGCCACCTGGGTACATGCTCTTTCCCACAGTGACCAGCATAAATGTCACTCGGTTTGGGCACCTCGGCATGGTGTAAGGGTTAGCAAGTTTGTCTCTCTAAAACAGTTACGACTGAATAGTAAGTTTGATCCTCATTGGGTGCCCCATACTTTCGGCCTTGTGCCACATCTAAGCAACACTTAGAAAATCAATACTGGCCACTCGTGTCCAAAGGGTTAAACCAAACTTTTTTTCTTTTTTTTTTTTCTAAATTTTCTTATAATCATGTTTGTCTCTTCCTTCATTAGTTAACAAAACCTTGGTTTCAGTGAGAAAAAAGAGAAGGTAAAAGTATTTAACAGCTATTTCAGTCAACTGGGAAAAAGTTGGCAATTTAAAAATGTTCCACTTGTATCCACTTCTTTAAATAACGGCCAGCATTCATATTTATGGTTTTTATTGCAATATTTTGTTAAAGTTGTTAAGCTCAAATATTTAACAATGTGATGGGGGAATTTCTATGGATGTTTTATTGTTGTAGAATTTAGTCATTAACTTAAGAATTAAAATCCATCAGAATATTGAAATTGGAAAACCATGCTGCCTTTTAATAAATGTGATAAAAATGTATGTGAAGTTCAAAGTAATGTTCTCGTCTCAAATGTAAAGATCAATGTAACCTTCTCACTGGTTACTTCAAATGTAAAGATCAATGTAACCTTCTCACTGGTTACTTCAAATGTAAAGATCAATGTAACCTTCTCACTGGTTACTTCAAATGTAAAGATCAATGTAACCTTCTCACTGGTTGCTTCAAATGTAAAGATCAATGTAACCTTCTCACTGGTTGCTTCAAATGTAAAGATCAATGTAACCTTCTCACTGGTTGCTTCAAATGTAAAGATCTGCTGGTTGCAAATGAATCACCTTCTGGTTGCTTCAAATGTAAAGATCAACGAAACTTTTCTCACTGGTTGCTTCAAATGTAAAGATCAACGAACCTTCTCACTGGTTGCTTCAAATGTAAAGATCAACGAACCTTCTCTGCTGGTTGCTTCAAATGTAAAGATCAACGTAACCTTCTCACTGGTTGCTTCAAAATGTAAAGATCAACGTAACCTTCTCACTGGTTGCTTCAAAATGTAAAGATCAACGAAACTTCTCACTGGTTGCTTCAATGTAAAGATCAACGAACCTTCTCACTGGTTGCTTCAAATGTAAAGATCAACGAACCTTCTCACTGGTTGCTTCAAAAAGATCAACGAACCTTTCTCACTGGTTGCTTCCAAATGTAAAGATCAACGTAACCTTCTCACTGGTTGCTTCAAATGTAAAGATCAACGTAACCTTACTGGTTGCTTCAAAAAAGTCAAAATCTTCTCACTGGTTGCTTCAAATACTTATCACTGGTTTAAGATCAACGAACCTTCTCACTGGTTGCTTCAAATCAAGAAACGTAACCTTCTCACTGGTTGCTTCAAACAAAATCAACGTAAACCTTCTCACTGGTTGCTTCAAATGTAAAGATCAACGTAACACTGGTTGCTTCAAATGTAAAGATCAACGAACCTTCAAAATGTAAAGATCCTTCTCACTGGTTGCTTCAAATGTAAAGATCAACGTAACCTTCTCACTGGTTGCTTCAAATGTAAAGATCAAATTAACCTTCTCACTGGTTGCTTCAAATGTAAAGATCAATGTAACCTTCTCACTGGTTACTGGTTGCTTCAAATGTAAAGATCAACGAAACTGGTTTGCTTCAAATGTAAAGATCAACGTAACCTTCTCACTGGTTGCTTCAAATGTAAAGATCAACGTAACCTTCTCACTGTTGCTTCAAATGTAAAGATCAACCTTCTCACTGGTTGCTTCAAATGTAAAGATCAACGTAACCTTCTCACTGGTTGCTTCAAATGTAAAGATCAAATGAACTTTCTCACTGGTTGCTTCAAATGTAAAGATCAACGAACCTTCTCACTGGTTGCTTCAAATGTAAAGATCAACGTAACCTTCTCACTGGTTGCTTCAAATGTAAAGATCAACGAAACCTTCTCACTGGTTGCTTCAAATGTAAAGATCAACGAAACCTTCTCACTGGTTGCAAATGTAAAGATCAACCAACGAACCTTCTCACTGGTTGCTTCAAATGTAAAGAAAGATCAACGTAACCTTCTCACTGGTTGCTTCAAATGTAAAGATCAACGTAACCTTCTCACTGGTTGCTTCAAAAAGATCAACGATCAAAATGTAAAGATCAACGTAACCTTCTCACTGGTTGCTTAAATGTAAAGATCAACGAACCTTCTCACTGGTTGCTTCAAATGTAAAAGATCAACGTCTTTCACTGGTTGCTTCAAATGTAAAGATCAACGTAACCTTCTCACTGGTTTGCTTCAAATGTAAAAGATCAACGTAACCTTCTCACTGGTTGCTTCAAATGTAAAGATCAACGTAACCTTCTCACTGGTTGCTTCAAATGTAAAGATCAACGTAACCTTCTCACTGGTTGCTTCAAATGTAAAGATCAACGTAACCTTCTCACTGGTTGCTTCAAATGTAAAGATCAACGTAACCTTCTCACTGGTTGCTTCAAATGTAAAGATCAACGTAACCTTCTCACTGGTTGCTTCAAATGTAAAGATCAACGTAACCTTCTCACTGGTTGCTTTCAATGTAAAGATCAACGTAACCTTCTCACTGGTTGCTTCAAATGTAAAGATCAACGTAACCTTCTCACTGGTTGCTTCAAATGTAAAGATCAACGTAACCTTCTCACTGGTTGCTTCAAATGTAAAGATCAACGTAACCTTCTCACTGGTTGCTTCAAATGTAAAGATCAACGTAACCTTCTCAAATGGTTGCTTCAAATGTAAAGATCAACGTAACCTTCTCACTGGTTGCTTCAAATGTAAAGATCAACGTAACCTTCTCACTGGTTGCTTCAAATGTAAAGATCAACGTAACCTTCTCTGGTTGCTTCAAATGTAAAGATCAACGAACCTTCTCACTGGTTGCTTCAAATGTAAAGATCAATGTAACCTTCTCACTGGTTGCTTCAAATGTAAAGATCAACGTAACCTTCTCACTGGTTGCTTCAAATGTAAAGATCAACGTAACCTTCTCACTGGTTGCTTCAAATGTGAAGATCAATGTAACCTCACTGGCTGCTTCGAATGTGAAGATCAACGTAACCTTCTCGCTGGTTGCTTGGAATGTGACGATCAACGTAACCTTCTCCCTGGCTGCTTGGAATGTGACGATCAACGTAACCTTCTCGCTGGCTGCTTGGAATGTGAAGATCAACGTAACCTTCTCGCTGGCTGCTTGGAATGGGAAGATCAACGTAACCTTCTCGCTGGCTGCTTGGAATGGGAAGATCAACGTAACCTTCTCGCTGGCTGCTTGAATGGGAAGATCAACGTAACCTTCTCGCTGGCTGCTTGAATGGGAACGAACCTTCAACTTGAATGGGAAGATCAACGAACCTTCTCGCTGGCTGCTTGGAATGGGAAGATCAACGTTCTTCTAAGCTGGCTGCTTGGAATGGGAAGATCAACGTAACCTTCTGAAATGGGAAGAAGATCTTCGCTGGCTGCTTGGAATGGGAAGATCAACGTAACCTTCTCGCTGGCTGCTGAATGGAAGATCAACGTAACCTTCTGAATGGGAAGATCAACGTAACCTTCTAAACTGGCTGCTTGGAATGGGAAGATCAACGTAACCTTCTCGCTGGCTGCTTGGAATGGGAAGATCAACGTAACCTTCTCGCTGGCTGCTTGGAATGGGAAGATCAACGTAACCTTCTCGCTGGCTGCTTGGAATGGGAAGATCAACGTAACCTTCTCGCTGGCTGCTTGAATGGGAAGATCAACGTAACCTTCTCGCTGGCTGGCTGCTTGGAATGGGAAGATCAACGTAAACCTTCTGCGCTGGCTGCTTGGAATGGGAAGATCAACGTAACCTTCTCGCTGGCTGCTTGGAATGGAAGATCAACGAACCTTCTCTGGAAGGGATCAAAAACCTTCTAGTTTTGCTTGGAATGGGAAATTAGTTTTTGTTTAGCATTTAAACTCTTTTGTAAAGACTTAAAGTTTGTAATTTATGATTATTGTTTGTTCTGAGAGACATAAATGTGAGATCTGATAATAGTTTCAATAGATTTATCATATATCTGACCCAGATCTTTTTTGACAAACTTTGGAGTTGGTCAATTCAGCTAAGTCAGTTGAAATTTGATTTATTGAATGTTATAGTTCTAGTTACCATTTGAGCAGAATTTCTGCTAGCAGAAAAATACAGTAAATTCTTGTAATTTCATGCATTTTATTTTAAGTTTTTTTTTATTTTTTTACTAATGTTTACCCAATGCAAGGCCCAAGATCCACCCAAAATATTGGGTTACTGTCTGGATTTGTATTAGTGTAAGAATAAACACTAAGAGAAGTTCTTGGGGCTATGCCAGAAAGATAACTGCTGACTCTAGACTTGAAGAGGTCAAGATTTAATTAATGAATAATATTTCAGAGTTCAGGAGCAAACATGAGGCATATAGTGTGGAAGTAGACTTTCTAAGGAACCAGTAACCTAATATTAAAAAGTCAAACAAGGGATAAACCACTACTCCTGTTCAAAAGACTGACAAGAATTCATTATTATTAATTATTATTTTATATATTTGCCACACTTATTAAAAGAGAAAGTAACTTAGAAAATTCTGATATCAAATCTTGCCTAGATATAAATCTATGCCTTGGAATTTTTCAAATACCTCCTTTCCTAACTTACATGACTATAAAAAAAAATTTTAAAATTAAAAGAAAACTGTCAAATTGAAACCCTGTTATTTAAAATATATAGTACATAATTTAATTTTGATCTAAAAAATGTAAATAATAATTAGATTCAACATTTACTCATTTTTTGTTTATTACATATTAAATTACATCACTTAGCATCTTCCATAGTTTACCTTGACTTTCAGTTAGCCTGAAATATATTTATGAGTGTTCTAAAATTTAGATATCCTAATGACATTTTTATTTCTGTGTATAAATACTTGTTGCAAAATAAAATCCTTACTTTTGCCTTGATAAAGTCTATCAGATGACGAAACACATTGACTAAATGTTGTGTCCATGGGTGTGCTTATTTGTGTTAAATAAGAACGAATATGCAACTCAAATTCACTATAGGTAAACAATATCTGTCTATATTTCTGAGATGAGGTATTATGTACATTATTCAGACTATTGTCCTCATCTTTATTACAATGTTTCGGCCATTGTACGCTCAGGCCTTCTTCAGGTGGTTGGAATGTCGATGTGAACCCTTTATTTCACTCACTGAGGTAGTCAATTATCAGTTATCTCCTGTTAATTTCCCTGTGAAAGTTCTTCACTGGAGAATTGAACTCACACTGCTTGGGTCTTGTCACTGGACCTAACTAACACCTTTATCCACTGTGCCATGTGTCTTTGAGAACATCTGTGTATGAATTTCTGGGTATTACAAACCTAATGTCTTCAGCATAATTTTTTTTTACCAGTGCTCATATTGCAATTTTTGTTATCGCTTATTACTGGTTCCCATATTGTACTTATTTCTATGCTTGGTCAACTCAGGAGATTTTTGTGGCCTAGCATATGTGCTGATTCCTTAAGTTTACGAATTTTCCAATGGTGTCCCTTCTCAATGATCTCAACCTGATCCCACAGAGAGTGGTGATCTCCCTTCTCTCTCCATATGTGGTCAGCCACGCCTGATTTTCCTACTTCCCGTCGTGTTACAGCTTTCTGGTGTTCTTGAAGCCTTACCTTAAAGGCACGGCCTCTCTCTCTCCCCTTTATATTTCTTTCTGCAGCTGCATGGGATAGCGTATACACAGTCTTTAGTCATGTTCTCCTCTATGCTGTGGGTGGGGTCTTACTCAGGAGAGATATCTGCAAAGTGTCGTCACGCTTTTGAAGGTTGTCCTGATGTTATATGGACCGCAAATCCTTTGTATTTTCTCTGATAACCCCTTCACATAAGGCAGGCAGACTTGTTTTCTGAGAGTTGTTGTTTTCCTCTTGTATCCACCTATCCCAGTTTTTTGGGCCTGCTGCCATGTACCCAGGGTAGTTGTTATGTTGTAGGATACTATTTATACTGACCAATTCTTTATCTAATGTCTCTGGGTCGCCACTTATGCTTCAGTGTTGTAAGCAGTGGACAATCCCTTTGTTTTGAACCCATGCTCTGTTCAAGATATTAGAACATCCAGGAATGGGAGTGTGTTGTTACTCTCTTTCTCTATTGTGAACTGTATCGAAGGTCTTATTGAGTTCACATGGTCCAGTAAAACCTGAACATCTTCCTGGTGTGGCCAGAGTATGAAGGTGTCATCTACATGCCTTAACTATATAGTTGGCTTTAGAGATATAGATTCTAATGCCATTTCCTCAAAGTATTCCATGTATATATTCGCCATTGCTGGTGATAATGGCGAACCCTCATCCTGTCGATATATGTGTGATCCCATTCCAAAGTGTGTTGTTTGTGTACAGAAAGATAACATCTCCATCAGATTATCTATTGGGATACTGGTCCGTTCTTCTAGGGATGAGTCAGAGGCCAATCTGTCTCTGACTACTGAGAGTGCCTCCTCCGTAGGTAAACAATAGATGTAAACATGACCAGTGGATTAAGATTCCGAGAGTAAACCTGAGGGAATGCCCAACAGCCATTTTGAAATTCCCCTTACTTGTGTTAGTAAGAGTTCTGATCAAGGGGCACAACATGGTATCCATCTAGGGAGCGAGTTAACTCCCTTTGTTATGACATCTGCCCTAACACAAAGATAAGTTTTTCTTTTGTCTTTACTAGAATGTTTTGCAACATGTTGAGGTGTGTTAAAATCCTCACAGCATTTAGTATTGTTGAAGTTATCACTAACATTTTTTTTGTCAAGATTTACAAACTCTGTTTCATTTAATTTTGCAAACCAATCAATAAAATTTAAATAAGCTGATTTATTTGGAAAAATACTTTGACAAAAACCCTACTTGGCAGTATAATAATTTCTTTAATTTAATTCAATTTTATAGGACTTCATGGTAAACATTTTTTTTTTATTTTTAACAACTAAGAATAAATTCTTAGGATTTCTTACTCTTGAGCATACAACATACAACTGGCCATGTGCAAATATTTCTTTAGGAGCCAAATTCCAGCCTTTTGAAGTGTTTGGTCTTGTGATTTGTTTTTATTTCTCACAAACACAAGGCAAACTGGAAACTGGAGATATATATATATAAATAAACTTAAAAGATGTGCAAAAAAAATATTATATTTTTTATTAAATAAGTATTTATTTTAATCATTAAACTGTTTTCAAAATATCTTTAAGTTGAAATTCACAAAGGGATATATTGTTCACATAATTAGAAGTAAATCCTGAAAATTTCGCCAACAATATTTAGTTAATACTAATTCTATTGTGTAGACATGAACTTGCATAGTAATTGGCATAGAATATAAGGACCATCTCCATGGTGATAATTATTTGATATTTAGTATCAAATAATTATCAACATGGAGATAGTCTAGTGATTACTGCTTAGAATTCTATGATATAAAACCATAATCTCTTCAGGTATTTTTAACATTGTAAAGATTACTCAGAAAAGGTTCCTTAATTTTTTTGTTCTTGGATCTTAATTCTCTGCCAAGTGGTATAATGTCATTTACCAATTTTTTTTCTCTCTCTACTCAATTACATGATGTATTCTCCTGAAATATTACTTTACTGCATTTTTTTCTTTCAGGTGGCTGAAGTGTTGTCAAAAGAGAAAACTCGTCTTTCTGTCTCTGGCTGGTTCCATGGACCCAACATCCCCAGGCCACCAGTTCACCCACACAATAAGGTGCCACTTTTACCATGTCTTATATTGGAGGTAAGATAAGCATTCATTTCTCTTATATGATGTGTACCTCTAATACATTTTGCTTTTGTTTTGCTTTAAATTATTTCTGCCTGACTAATTCTGAATGGGTGACCATTTAAAAACGGTCTCTAAAGACCCTTGGAATGGTAATATTAGCCTTTTCCTTATTAGGAAACATTAGGTTTTCATTCACCAAGCAGCCAATGCTACTTTCAATTTGAAATAAAATATTTTATTAAAGTAATTTTTCAGGAAAATAGATTCCTCAAATTCAGTAACTATTATCACTCTTCCTAGTGTATTGATGGCAGATTCCTTTCTAACCTTTTGTTCAAAGTAGTGTGGAATGTCAACATCTTGATTATGTAATTATTTTCTCTTCAACTTGCATGCTATATCCAGGTGCTCAAGTGATGTTGTTTCTGTTATTCAGTACAGTTCTTTGGGATTTGTCCTGGGTATGATGATAAACTACATCCGGCAGCAAGGCCTCTGATTGGGAGATTGGGGGTTTTGAGGAGTGTAGAACCACCTCTTAATTGCTGTTGCACCAAGGTTCACCCTGAACAGGGATGGTAGCACCTGTTAAGGTCCCAACTATAGGCAAATAGTGAAACCCCAAACCAAAACAAAACACTATCAAATTATTACTATTTTTATAGTAAAAATATTAACACTACCTATTTCTAGTGAAATGACCAGCAATACATTTTATAGCAAAATGACTAACAATACATTTTATCTGTAGTTGAAGGCATACAATTGTGTTCAAAATATATTTAGTTTAAGCCATAAAATTATATTAGAAATGTTTACATTTTGTCATTAAATAACCCATAGAGGTTGATATATTGATTAAACAAATTCAGCTAAACAACATGAAAGAACTCTTTAATGATATTAATTCATATAATATCCTAGGGGGTATACTTGGAAGAGGATGCTGATTTTCTGTCATTCTTTAACCACTATGAATACCTATCTTGTCAGCATACACCCCCCAACCTAATTAATGCAGTGCACACAGGAGGGAAACTTGCTTTTTATTGTCTGCCATATTTTAAAACTCTAAATTTATCATGGAGATTAGATAAAACCTTTTAACCTTAAATTCTATTTTATAGATATATACCTACAGTTCATTGCATTTATGACTAAATTTTTTTTTTTTTTTAATCAGTCTGTTTTGTCTTCATAAGTTTGATCTGGGAGAATTTTTGCCAGTGCATAATTCTTTGCTTAGCCAATAGTAGAAAGAATTTGTATTGTATATTGTTGTTTTTTTTGTTTTTGTTTTTTTTTTTTTACTTATTGCACAATTCTTGCTGTCTCTGCTGAGATTGACTGCCTAAATCAAAGCCTGTCCTATTGCTTACCGAGCCATTGTCATTTGTAATTTTTGGCACTTTGAAATCTGTGTCACTGAAGACAGATTTTGTTTGTTTCCTTTCCAAGACAGATTTGCTTTACAATTGGATCAACACTTCTTACCTTGACTTGGAAGTTCAAGCAGAGATCAGAGAGAAATTTGAGTTGGAATCTGAAATACAACTTCAAGATTTCTTGACGGTCAGTGTTTATTGTTTGTTTTTTTGGGTTTTTTTTTTGTATCTATTTTCTATAAAATATCTTATTCCACTACTCAATTGTTCATCAAATCTTTACATCATTTAAACAATAATAAAAAAATTACCCTTGTCAACTTATGTCAAGTCTGAAAGAGGGCACATTATTTTTATACTTGTTTACTTAGACCAGTTTACTTCACGACCTGGGGAATGAGCAACTGAACAGAAAATGGTGGGTGATTTAGGAATTTGAGTATCAGTCTATATTTCTGAGATGAGGTATTATGTACACTATTTACATTATTTGGACTATTGTCTTCATGTTTATTGTATTTATTAATAAATTTAATAAATATTATTATTGTACACTCCATCCTTCTTCAAGTGGTTGGAATGTCGAATCCTTTATTTCACTCGCTAGGGTAGACTGTTCTAGTTCCACATGCCACGTCTAATGGATGTCAATTATCAGTTATCTCCCTTTCTAAGTTCTCTACTGCCTTAACAAAATATTGAACTTACACTCTTTGGGTCCTTTTCTTTTTTCTTTTTTTCTTAAGGTGAATTTTTTTTTCAAAATGAACATCGCTGATGACACAAAAAATGGTTGGAGGCCCCTGACTTAGATCATAAAAAAAAAAATAGCAGCTATATTTAAATAATTTTACAATCGCATTAATTATATTTTCTGTATGAGTAATTTAAGATTTTTATATTTACAGTTAACTCTGTTGTCATGTGTAAGAAAAAATTTTGCCCTTTTACATCGTTAAAATAAAAATATCCAAGTAAATCTAATGACCTGTAATGCCAAAAAACAATGGCCATATTTAAATAATTTTACAATTGTATGTATTGGTTATATTTTCAGCGTGAATAATGTAAGATTTCTACCTCTACAATTAATTCTAGGAAAAAAGAATTCAGCATTTTTAGATCATTAAAAGTTAGACATATGATTGATAAAGTGGAAAAAATTCTGTCACATATTTCATTCTCTAGATGGATTTCATTGGACTAAAGTAATGTTTATGTTGATGGCATTTGTCTCGGAAGTGGGGAGAAATAACAATGAAAAACGTTTTTTGGTTTTGGTGTTTATGGTAGAAAATCTATATAAATAAAGCACAGTGTGTGTTCGTCCGTTTTTCAATCTCAGTGAATCATGAACAACCTGAATTAACAGGAAGGAACTACTGTAGTTACACATGATTAAAAATTAGATAAATAACGCATTTAAAGTTAAATTTAAATATCAAACAGCGAAAGGTTAAAAAAAAAAAATTTATTTTGGTTTTCTTGCAATTGATATGATTTAATTAAACCATAATTAAAACTTAAGTGGGACATGGAATGTTGCTTCTTCTTTCTTCTTTTTTTTTTTTTTTTTTTTTTTTTTTTTTCTCTCTAGCATGCATACTGATGAATTCAAAATATTACATAGTTTGAGTTCCCTAACGTCTTTTAAGAGTAACTTTATGTGAAAGGATCATAAAGAATGGTGATTTTTAAAAGGAAATAAAAATTGTGTACAAAATAAATGTAAACAAACTACAGAGCTCGGTTGTGTGTATATGAAGAAAGATTGTGCCAAATTAAAGTGTTGAATAAAGATAAAATAATTTTATGATTTCTAAATTATTATAACTGTTATGTGCGTAGAACGTTGAAGATAAAAGGCCAAAGGCCCAAAAGACCTTCACAAGAGCTAGCCTAAAGCATCTTCTGGGCTATTTATATGTAAATTTCTTCTTTTCTTTTTTTTTTTTTTTTTAGTGGATATCCATATTTGAATAGGTGCTCTGTTTATCTATTAAACAGTATATTTCCATCTTCTACCCTGAATATTTGAGAAATCTTATTAGAATAATATGCACTCTCTGACAGGATTCGAACCCGTGTTCCCCTAGTGGGAGCCATCATTAGATCTGATGTGCTTTATTTTCTTGTCTACAAAGAACCTAATGGCCAGGCAAAGCCTAAATAGTGCTTTTGAACATGGACCTTTCTCAATTCACTAAAAAAAATTAAGCAGAGATGTATATTTTGAGAATGGAGAAGGGTCTGTTTTCAAAAGTACTATTTGGATGTTGCTTGGCCATTAGGTTCTCTGGAGTTGGCCTCAACTATAATTGTTTTTTATATTGAAGGGCTAAAAGTTTAGCATCTGTTTCTTGTTTCCAGCTTCCAAAATACATGGAAGTGAATGCAGCATTCCAAAATAGCCAACTAGAATGGATCCAGTCTGGCCCTGCCAACAGAAGGTAATCTCTTCATTCAATTTCTTTTTTACTATGGCTCAAATACCAACTATAGGAAGGAGGCAACACCTCAGAAGTGAAATTGCTTTGCCTCAAAACTCGGTCATTAAAACCTACACACATATCATCATTTTTTTTGCCCAGACTGGAATTTATTGCTCGTATTAAAAAAATAAAATAAAAATAATTAAAAAAAATAGTTTCTTGGGATTTTTTTTTTTATTATTATTATAACTCAAATGAAGTTTTATAAACCAACAAACATTTTTCTTTCCTTTTTTACATATTTTTACACTTTCTTTATTTTTTTTTTTTTAAACACCTTGTTCTTATCATTAACAGTATTTAAATTTAATTTAAATGTAACAATATTTAAATTTTTATTCATTACCTTTGTGTGTGTGTTTAACACTTTCACTGTTACATTGTCACCTGGCTGTGCTGGCCCATTTTCTGAAAAATAAGAAATTGCCATTTACTGGAAATAAATGACTAAAGATACTGAAAGTAACTTATCATGGGTACTGCCATTTTGGTTTCAGTTGAATACTCTAAAGTACATTCTAAGTTAAACAGCACCCCCCAACAGATAAAATAACATTACAAATACATTACATACTGTATATGTCTATGCTGGTTTGGAAATGGCACTTGGCGTTAGTTTATAATACAAATAGACACTGACAATTCAGTGTCTTGAAAACGTATATATACATCAACAGCAGACACCACAAGTTTCATAAAACTGTATAAGTATGTCAACAGAAGCAGAAGTGTTAAATATTAACAAAGGAGTGACTTGATTCAGTCATAATAACTCTTGTAAAATATCAAAGCAATTAGAACTTTGAAGTAAAACATACCTTAAGAAATGAATCAGAATAGAACACAATACATTCAATAAATATAAATAGACTAATAATACCTTCAAAATTGTGAAATGACAATAATTAGATTGAATCCATTAACTCCCATTGTCCCAGAAATGAGACTGAGCTCAATCCGATCTCTTTAATCTGACACTTTTTTTTTTTTTTTTTGAATCAGCCACCATTAGTTTGTTGAGCAGCTCCACATATTGTTTTGGTAATACAGTCTTTCTTCTGCATATTTACCCATTCAGGAATTCCAAACTGAACACTTTATTTAATCTACAGGGGTACACTGTTCTCATTCCAGATGATATCTAAGGATATCATTTTAATGCCAAAGTGAAAGAAGTCCTCAAATCGTTGCCCCAAATGCAAATACGTACTCAGAAGCATGAAATACATAAATACATACTTGTGCCAAATTTTAACTAATACCTTAATGACAACTGAAACACTATGAGGACTAACTTATTAAATATCTGACACAAGTTCATGCCTCCGAGTCCGTATTTGTGCATTTCCTGCCTCCGAGTCCGTATTTGTGCATTTCCTGCCTCCGAGTCCGTATTTGTGCATTTCCTGCCTCCGAGTCCGTATTTGTGCATTTCCTGCCTCCGAGTCCGTATTTGTGCATTTCCTGCCTCCGAGTCCGTATTTGTGCATTTCCTGCCTCCGAGTCCGTATTTGTGCATTTCCTGCCTCCGAGTCCGTTTGTGCATTTCCTGCCTCCGAGTCCGTGTTTGTGCATTTCCTGCCTCCGAGTCCGTATTTGTGCATTTCCTGCCTCCGAGTCCGTATTTGTGCATTTCCTGCCTCCGAGTCCGTATTTGTGCATTTCCTGCCTCCGAGTCCGTATTTGCATTTGGGGCACCAATTTGAGGACTTCTTTCACTTTGGCATTAAAATGATATCCTTAGATATGGTTTTCTGTTAACCTTCACTTCTTTTCAATATCTGTACATTTCATTGATGACCATTCCTGTGCCTGCAGCTGATCAGAGACTACAAATAAAATTGCTTAATTGAACTATTTGCTGCAGTAGCTCTATTATAGTAACATCAATCCAACTTGTTACTTTCTAAATAGAATTACTGAACTTTGTAAATGGAGAACCTTTTCCCACCTTTTTATTGAGGAGATTAAGTGCCTTTTCATTTCCCTTACAGAAATAGCTATCTTGCCAATGAAGACACATTCCCTGATGTGATCCGTGAGTGTTTGCGCCTGTTGCGATCCGAGATAATGTTTCTGCTCCTCTCTAATCTGACGGGATTAAAACTTCACAGCGAAGCTGCCGTCAGTGATGACGAAGATGACAAAGAACAAAAACGTCCACATCGAAAACTGACAGAAGTTAGGGATGCCAAAATGAACGCTGTTGGATTTAATGTAGATTGTGATTCTCCTGGGGAGCAAGCAATGACGACTTTTGCCAGAAACCCTGCCGAGGTTGGGAACAGCAGTTCGACAGTGGAAAATCTGCCAGCTTCCTTTTCCCCTGAAGCTGAAAAGAACTTGGTTCCAAATGTGAAAGAATTGCACCCAGCTACAGATTCTACAAGCTGTGGAGAAATTAATCACAAGTCAGCAGACAATGCTGAATTGTCAGGTGAGAAAACTTTTCTTTTTTTTTTTTTTTTTTTTTTTTTTTTTTTTTTTTTTTTTTTTTTTTTTTTTTTTTTTCTTTTTTTTTTTCCTTTTTTTTTTTTTTTTTTTTTTTTTTTTTTTTTTTTTTTTTTTTTTTTTTCTTTTTTTTTTTTTTTTTTTTTTTTTTTTTGTCTTCCCCACTCATTTTCAGGAGTTATTATTTTTATTATTCAGATGAGTTAACTCACATTCATGAGTTTATCACGCCAACCACCTAGGTCAGAAGGCCATTAGGAAGATATTTGGTGTCATAACATATCTCAGTCCTGACTGTTCAGCTGATTATTGAGGGCATCAGGTCAACGTGTCAAATAATAGTTTAACAGACTATTTTTTTTTTTTTTTAGAGGAAGTGTATCTCAGCCTGGACTTTCTGAGGTTGACCCTAGAGGTCAGATGCAAGACAAAATAAGGAAGTCGATTTTGATTGGCTGAGCTAGTGTGGCAATGATAGATATAGAGAAAGGGTTTTCAGTGAGTTGGTTCTTAACCGTCGAACGATGTAGACATATTTTCTTTCATGTCTGAAACGGCCCTCCAGTTGAGGGGGAACAACCCCCACTAGATATTAATGTTGACATGAATATTAATAAAACAGTTAAAATTTCCTGTGGTGAAGTTTTTTTTATTATCTATGGACTCAAAACAACTAGCAATCACCAGCTGCAAAGAACAATGCAACTTTATTTTCAAATTGACAATGTCACCCAAGACCACCCCACCAGGGTGATATGGGCATCAGGGTAAAGAATCTACAGGCCACCTTACTTTTTGTAGATTTCTCTAAAGTCTTTGATTCTGTACACAGGCAAAATAGAGAAGATCATTCTGGTATGCGGCATCTCTCCTAAGACAGTAACTACCATAATGATTCCTATACAAAAATACCAAATCTTTAGTTAGATCTCCAGACAGAGACACTAACTTCTTAAAAATCAAAGCAGGGGTCCACCCAAGTGACACCCTTTCACTGCATATTGAGAACTTCCCTTGACAAACATTATCATCTAGGTTTTACTTTATCAGTAAAAAATGTTGACAGATATTGGCTATTTCAAGTGTATCTTTTCCTACCCCTCTCACTTTCAATAGTATCTTAGCTTTTTTTCCTACCCTCTCACTTTCAATAGTATCCTTTTTCCCTACCCCTCACTTTCAATAGTATCTTAGCTTTTTTTTTTCCTACCCCTCTCACTTTCAATAGTATCTTAGCTTTTTTTCCTACCCCTCTCACTTTCAATAGTATCTTAGCTTTTTTTTCCTACCCCTCTCACTTTCAATAGTATCTTAGCTTTTTTTTTTTTCCTTACCCTACCCTCTCACTTTCAATAGTATCTTAGCTTTTTTTTTACCCCTCTCACTTTCAATAGTATCTTACCCTACCCCTCTCACTTTCAATAGTATCTTAGCTTTTTTTTTTACCCTCTCACTTTCAATAGTATCTTAGCTTTTTTTCCTACCCTCTCACTTTCAATAGTATCTTTTTTTTTTCCTACCCTCTCACTTTCAATAGTATCTTAGCCCTACCCTCTCACTTTCAATAGTATCTTAGCTTTTTTTTTCCTACCCCTCTCACTTTCAATAGTATCTTAGCTTTTTTTTTCTCCTTTCACTTAGCTTTTTTTTCTCCCTCTCACTTTCAATAGTATCTTAGCTTTTTTTTTTCCTACCCCCCTCTCACTTTCAATAGTATCTTAGCTTTTTTTTTTTTTTTTCACCCCTCTCTCACTTTCAATAGTATCTTTCTACCCTCTCAGCAATAGTTCTTAGCTTTTTTTCCCTACCCTCTCACTTTCATCTTAGCTTTACTGCCACCACTACTTTCAAGAGTGCTGGCTTTATTTTTTCTTCCTCTTCCTCCACCACCTTCAAGGCCTCGACTTTTTAGGGATTAGTAAAGGGCTTCTGTTTTTTTTTTTTTATATAGTGAATGACAATTTTATTTGCCACTCTTTAAAGTCTGGATCTTCTTTTTGAATATGCCAAATATGAATAGATTTGATAATTTTCAAAAATACTTTTTCTTTTTAACTTCTTCAGCCAATGAATCTTCAGTTGCATCTACCAGTTCCAACTGCAAGGCTCGCTGCAGTTATGATGTGCGTCTCTGGAGGCACGGCTGTTATACACTTTTGCAGGACACAGATGCTGAAATGGCAGACTATGCCTTAGATGCTCTCCTCTTTTTTGGATGTGAAAGTAAGTCGCATTTAATTATATTCCTTATTTTTTTCTGTAACATCTAACAAAAGAACAGTATTGTTTACTTAACTGAGCATTAATTAATACAAAACGAAATGTGACAAATCTTTTCCAACATTTCCTTTTAAAAAATGACAATCCATTCTTTTCTACTTTTATCAGTTTTAAGGGGCAACAAAAGGGTAAGCAGATACTTTTAATAATTCATGAATGTATTCTGCTTCTTGTTTGACCTTTCGAAGTGTACTTGTACTTACTGTACTTGTAACAGCATTCACCCAGGGTGGGTTGAGCTGGCTCCAATATTGGAGTTTCATGGGAAACCCGCATGTATAGCACATGAGATTTGATTATAATGGTGAAGGTTTCGTGCAGGACCATCCACACTTTTTGAAGGGCCAATTACAGAGACCTGGTGCACTATGTGCCACAAGGTCCCCAAACGACCCTCTGCAGGTTTTGAATTCAGAGTTGTCCTTCTCCTAGACCAGTTGCCATCCAAGGCTATAGAACCCAGTCTGTCCTGCTATTTACCCATAGCTGGAGGGAGAAGAGGATTCACACCTTTCCCAAGGGTATTAGCGCGTAAGTGAATGTAATGGATTCGACTGGAATTCAAACTTGGCTCTCCGATTCCTCAATCCAAGCCGCTGTCTATTACTCCACCGTGCCTCCTCTGAAAAGTGTGGGTGACTTAAGGGTTAGCAGCATGGAAAATGGATTTGGTTAGCAGATTTCAAATTCCAGCACAGTTTGTGTTCACTCCCATGCAGAAATCTCTCACGCACACACGCACAAATGGTAATCAGCAGAGTAAACCAGACTCTCTAGCTTTCATTGGCAACTAGTCTTTAGAGAAGAAAGCAGTTTAGGAAGAAGCTGTGGAAAGTCGTGATCCTGAAAGAACATGTCACATGACTCAAGCTTTTTTTTTTTTTTCCCCTCTGGCAGAAACAGGATTTCTGGACATCTGGATCTTCAATAGAAAGAAAGAAAAAAAATTTTCATTTAATAAAAATTAATGTGCAATAGATGCTCACAGACCACCATTCCTCTGCATCCAGAAAAACATTGGGAGCAGTCTAAAGCATTCTAAACAAGATGATGGTGAATGCAGGTGCAAACCCTGCCAGATAGGACAATATCTTTATTAAGTCTCTTGAATACACAAGCCAATAGAAAACGGGTCATGAAACATGTAAAATAATGTTTAGAATTTATATATATATATATATATATATATATTTAATGAACAACAGACACTTTAAGGTACCATTACAATAATTTATTTCACCAAAATCCTTTATAAAAGGATTTTGGATCATCAGGTAACACTTCCAACAATGAAATGAGAGGGTGAAGGTGGCGGTTAAAGAGACAATGCAAAATATAGTGAGGGTTAAATTTACATCTCTCTTAAATAAGCCTTAAATTGGGGTAGGAGGAGTGACCTAACCTTGACCTATTTATGTGGTAAAAGAAAAAGGAAGTGATATATAGGAATAGTGAGGAAAGGAAATAAAGTATAGGGAAAGAGAAAGAAAAAGTGGAAAAAAAGACAGACGTATCCAAAAAAGTTTTATTGCAAAGAGGGAAGGGGAGAGGGAAGTGAATCGAAAGAGAGAAAAAGGGGGGAAAAGGCCCAGACGTATTCAAAAAAAGTTTTATGGCAAAGAGAGAGGGGGAGAGGAAAGTGAATCAAAAGAGATAAAAGGGGGGTGGGAGACAGACATATTCAAAAGATTTTTATGGTAAAGAGGGAGTGGGAGACGGAAGTGAATCGAAAGAAGCTGTAATTTTGTTTTAACAAAATTATGTAAAAGATAGATTACAATGTTTGATAGAAAATTAGGTGTCTAAAAAATTGGAAGATATTAAATTCAGTATTTAATTTTTTAATTAACTAGTTTAGGGATTTAGTACAAGTGAACTACTATTATAATAAATATATTTATCGAGAACATATTAAAGAAATATTTAAAATTGCAATAGTACATTTACCCGAAACATTGTGATTCACAATATAGGAAGAAAACTACGGTAACAATGAATTCATCTATATTAATATCTAAAATAATTTGTGAATGCAATTTTTATTTATTTTTATATTGGTAAGTTTAATTAAGGTTTAGGTTTCATTATTTAATGGTATTAGAGGGTAATATTAAAGATTTTGTTTTTTTCTTATATGTCTCTCACAAATCTATTTCTATAAATTTATACATACCTACTCACATTAACAAGTACAAATACACACATAGACACACATGTAACAATATACACAAAATATCATTCATCTTCATACATAAATTATATATATATTTCATAATCATAATCTATATTTAAATATTTTAAATTTTAGATTTAATTTAGATTCCATAGTTAAAGTTTAAATTCAGGTAATTTTTGAAGTGTTACATATTATTAAAGGAAATTTGCTAATATTGTTATTACTAGTTAAATAATGGTAAATTTAAATTATCATTTTTAAAAAGAAAACCCTTAGAAGATAAAAATTTTCAACAAACCTAAATACCCCTTTACAAGAAGATAAAAATATATTCAAACAAACCTAAAAATAAATCATGCAAAAAAAAAAAAAAAAAAAAATATATATATATATATATTATAAATTAATTGATTTAAAAATATGGTTATTTTCGCTATTATTTTTGCAAATAAATTAAAAGCATTAGTTCTATTTCATCTTCAAGCGAATTTTTGAGTAACTTTTAAAATTTACCGGGTTTTAAAAAATACACAGCTAAAATCACGTTTCCATATTAAATTTTCCTTAAATCATTGTATCATTTATTAGCTACATTTTGGTAATGAAACCTGACGTCGGTTGAATGGATGTCGTCTGAATTTTAAAAAAAAAAAAAAAAAAATTTTAAAAAATGGAAGTTAATAAGAAGAGCAAATCATCATTAAACGCAAAGAGAAACTATATATTACTAAAAAAAAAAAAAAATTTACTGAATCAGAGAAATGAAATAGCTATTATATGCTCATTGTCAAAAATTAAATAATATATAAAAAAAAAAAAAAAGTCTATTGAATGGCAGGAAAAATGTTTTAAACTATTTAAAATTTAAAATTGTGGTTAAAAACTATTAAAACATAAACACCGTTTAAAAAATTGTAGTTAAATAAAATAAATCCTAACCAAACACCTCTATAATAAATACTACAAACACTTGAATGAATCCGATAAAACACCTTAAAAATGAAATTATAACTAAAGCTAGATGATGTAAGGGTAATGTATGACCCATTGTTCTTTGTACATACAATGAAACTTTATTACTCCCTATATTTAAAATAAATAATTTAATTAATTAATACATAAAGTTTACTAAATCTAAAATTTTTGTAGTCTGTGCCATTTATATTAAAAATATTACTTTGTTATGGAAAATACACATATATATCCTTCTGTTATAAATAATATAGTCAATTATATATATTTTAAAATATTATATATATATTAAAATTGTATAAAATGAATTCCCTGTTCTTGGTACATGTTTACTACTTAGGTTACATATATTTAAAATAAATAAATAAATTAAGTAATAAATAAAGTTTACTAAATCCGAGAAATGACTTAGCTAATTTTGTAGTAAGTTCCATTAATATTACTAAAATAATATTTTAAAATATAAAGGTTTAAAAATTGTAATTTACATATACTTGGATATTGAAAAATAATTTTACTTACTATGAGTAATATTCCTTCTGTTATAAAAGTAATATAGTCTAAAAAAACAATGAAAATATTTCAAAAGTTTAAAGTTTGTAATTTTAAAATAAACTAAAATTAAAAGTTAAATTGAATGAATTCTAACCTAAATTTCTTTTAAATAATACTACACGCACTAAAAAAGAATCCCAAAAAAGCAAATATAGTAAAATAAAATTAATATGTGCCATAAGATGTAAGCAATGACACATGTCCTTTGTACTTATAGAAACATTATATCACTAGGTTTATATATATATATATATATATATATATATATATATATATATATAAAAAAAAAAAATGTAACCTCATATACATACTTAAACTTGAATTAATACATAAAGTTTATAATTCTGAGAAATGACTTAGATAGTTTTGTAGTCAATATTAATATTATAAATAATATCTAAATTAAAAAGTTTAAAATTGTAATTTACATATACTTTGATATGAAAAAATTTTTACTTACTATGAGTAATTATCCTTCTGTTATAAAGTAATATAGTCAAATTAAAACTAACATTCATTTTAAAATTTTAAAAGTTAATTTTAAAATTGAAAAAATAAAATTAACATGTTATTTATTTTTATTAATTAGGTTACATTTTTTTTATATTTGATATGGAAAAATAAATCTTACTTGTTTTCCTTCTGTTATCTACTACAAAATATTTCTTTTTGTTTAAAATTGTAGAATTCTAACCTAAATTTCTTTTAAATACTACACGCATTAAAAAAAGATCCAAAATAACACCTATAGTAAAAAAATTAATATGAAATTAACATGAAATTTGAATGAATGTCCTCAAAATAACACCTATAGTAAAATTTAATAAATTTTTTGAATGACCCATGTCCTCAGTACTTATGTGAAATATTATTTACTGAATCAGTGAAATTAAGTAACCATTTCTGCTGTCATTTAACCTCATATACATATTAAACTTATTAAAATAATCCTACATAACTCATTTAACTGTCTGTTCAAAATAAAAATCTGTCTGGAAATCCTTTTTAAAAGATGACGTTTTTTTATTAATTTTTTTTTTTTTTTTAAATTCAGAATTTTTTTCCATAAAATACATCCTCACCTTACCAAAATGTAAATGATACTGTCATAAGGAAAATCTAGACACCCTTGTTCAATTTGAGAGTAGAATATTCTGTAACCATGGAAACAAAATTCGGTCTCTAATTTATTTGCAAAAAATAAAATTAGGGTTTTAGCTTCTATTTTTGAAACATAGTTGGAACTTTAACCATATTTTTTGAATTTTTATAATATTAATGCTCTGTAAATTTACATTGAGCACTATTTTGAAATAAAATATCTATAAGAACACAGGATTTTATATTTACTGTTCTTTCTTTTTTATTTTTATATATATATATTATATATATATATACATACATGTACAATATCCACTATATATCTATACATGTAAATCAACACAGTGTCTTATTCAAATATGCCCTCCTAGTATATTCATATTCGCACACATACATATATATATATATATATATATGTGTGAATATATATATATATATATATATATATATATATACCTATACTTCCACACACATGTGCCCACAAATTTGATCTATAATGTTCATACATATATATATATAAATAGGTTCATAAACAAAGTCTAAGTTCAACAAACGAAGGATTTCATGCATTCATTTCAAAAAACAAAATTAATATTTTCTTTTTTATATGGTTGTATCTACATACTTTGTTAAGATGAGGTGGTTTCTATGTCTACATTTACATATCAACTCGTTATGTCTGTTCAATAATCTGTCTGGATCCTTATGTTTTATAATTAGAATTTTTTCCAAATGCCAAATTGCATTCTCTGAAAATTTATTGGAGTTTTAGCTTTTGAGATGATTTTCCATTTTATTTGTAGGCGTTAATTTGTTTTCAATAACTCCCAATAGTGCTAGAAAGTGCAGTTGAATTCTTTTTTGATTCATTAGTGAAGGATTGGCTTTATAAAACCGTTGTTTCAATTTCCATAAAATGCCTATGTAGATCTTCTTTTTTGTGCAATATCTTCCTTGGGGAAAATCGTAGCCTCGATCACGTTTTCGGACAGACATACTCCATCTACAGGACAAACAGATCCTTCCCTGCAGCTACAGGTCAATTTGGTCTTTGGGTTAGTATTAGGATCTTTCGGTAGTTGATTGTAAAATTCATTTAAGATTTTACTATTATGGGAGCTAATAATTTTTTCTATGTTGTTTATACAGGAATAACTAATTTTAAGATTCATTCTATTGAACATCTTTTTTAATAATTTATCTTTTTTAAAGTGTTTATCTATTAATTTAAGAAAATATTTTCCTATATTAATGTTCGAAAGCTTACAATATGGTGGGTTGAACCATATAATTTTCCTATTTCTATTTTTAGATTTAGAAGATGTGTTGCTAATAGATTTGTCTATATAAGTGAGTGTTTGTTTGAATCTACTTTTTAATAGGGCTTGATCGTATGTTGATTTACTTTGATCAAAGATACTTTCATTTGAGGATAGTTTATTTATTCTAGTATTTACAGTGTTAGGGATCTGTTTTATAATTGCTATAGGGGGGTTTGAGTTGATATTAATGTATATGGGCGATTGGTTCTCCTTTTGGAATGGTTTATAAGTGTTATTTTCGAGATCAAATGTTATGTCTAGAAAATTTACAATTTTCAGGTTAGATGATATTTCTATTTTAAAGCCTATATATTTGAATATATATATATAACTTATTTACCTTCAAAATATTTGTTTTAATCTTTAACACTCTGCATTATTTATTACTGTCCTTTCCACTGCATTGTTTTTCAAGGTTCCTCTATTTAATTTCAATCATGGTCATTTTCTGTTGCCATAGCAGGATATGACAGCACAGCTGCAAAACCTAAGCAAACAATCATTCATTCATCTGAGTCACTTGCAGTGGCAGGATAATATTTTTGCTTTGCAAACAAAATCACCTCCAGTATATTAAAGGTTTTAACTTACCCACTGTAAATCCCCCCCTTTTGTTTTAGTTTCCACATTTATTCCAATCTCCTCTTTTTGTTCCCTTTTCCGTACCTAACAGTAAATTATGTAGCATAAATTGTACCCTCAATTTAGCTTCACTTATTCACTACACCTTAGTCTCTTTCCATGATTTACAAATTGAACAACTTTCACCTATTTCTCCATTTTATGTTTGGCATTGATAACTCCTGTTGGAGCAGAGGTAAAAAGAAAGCCAATTTCTGCATTGTCTTTTAAGTGTGGGTAACAGTACCCCCAGACAGATATTGATATGACAAAAAGAAAAAATATTTATGTGGTATTGTTTTGTTTATCTATTTCAGATTGGCAACCTGACTATGGAGGCTATGTATCATACATTGTGAAAGGGGAAGATGAAGAGGTAAGTAATTATCACCCCCCAACTGGAAAAATGAACAGGGTGATTTTATAAATTTGTTTCCCCTTCCACTCTTTTGAAATCCTGAACTTAGAATAGGCATTTGATGTCCAAATGTACGTCTTTGAGGCCATTTCTTTCAACTTCTCCAATGATTTGTAAATGTTTCTCCTTGTAATAATTCAAAAGTTGCTAACTGATTTTTTTCTTCTTCCTCCCACCAGCTTCTGACTGTCAGCCCAGCCCACAATTCCTTGGCCCTTGTTTATCGAGACAAGGAAACTCTGCGTTTTGTCAAGCACGTCAATCACCAAATCACCCAGATGTCACATCAAAATTTTTTTGACATTTCATTCATTTACTATGAATAAAATGCTTTCTATTAAAAAAAAAAAAATAAATAAATTGTACAATTCCAAACTTTGATATATACTCTTTATTCTATTTAGTGGTCAGGAGAGCAACTACCATTTCCCAGGTATTAAAATAGATTCCCAACCCCAAAAGCATTAGTTACAAGCTAACACACATATATAAGATTATATATTATATATATATAAAATTTTTAATGAAAGACATGACTTGCCTTGGAATTCGAAACGAGTGGAAAACATGTCTTGCCTGCAAAGTGATGACAAAGAAATATGGCCGCTATTGAAGACACAATTTATGTGCGCCTATCTCATCCAAAATGAGATGATAGTTGCACACATGCAAATTTTGGCCATCTTGGAATAGCATAAAAAGCAGGGTGCCAGCAGCATGAGACAAGGGAAGTCATTCAGCAGACTGCTTGTGATAGAGTTGGACAGACAATGAGGTAGTTGAAATAGGCACAGTTGAGTTGGTGTGTTTCACAACTGCCCAGTGCAACGGCTGAGAAAGGGAGCCACACAATCCATTTCCTTGAGGTGACTGAAGAAAGAGTTGGCCTGCTGGCGTCACACTGCACTTTTTGACCCCTTCATCATCATTCATTTTTGTCTATATATATATATATATATATATATAGCGGTTTTTTTCTTACACTATAGAATATTTATATGATCACTAGCTCATATAGCTACCTATATTTACCCATTTTTTTATATATATATATATATATATATATATATAATCTCAAATTAAAAATGATGTGATATAAAGTGCAGTTTTTTTGAAAATGAGATTCTTGATTGTCACAATAGGATTTTTTTTTTTACTATCTATTTGACCAAAATCCATTCTTAATAACTGCTTACAAAATATATGACCACAAGCAAACTAGTCAATAAGTGAAGATTTTTACCAAAGCCTAACCTAGTTAGGATTTGTTTTTTTGATCTTCAAATTAACTGAAAACAAAATAGCACATTAAAAACAAAAGAACTTTGAATTTTAGTAATTTGCTTTATTCCCAAAAAACAAAATATATAAAGTAAAAAATTGTTTCTCATTCTTTTGTGATCGTAAAACTTCTCTAATTTTGTTTTTGCCCAAGAAAGAGTCAAATTTTTTTTTTTATTTTAAATCAAATTTAGATATGAACAAATTTTGTTTTTCATGATATCAATTTACAAATCTTTGGTTATCAAATAAATGTACTATGCTAGACTAAGAAAAAGAGCTTTGTGTTATGGTAATCGATCTTGTAGTTTATTTTATGTAAGGACAATAGTTTTTATGTGTATCCTCTCAACACTTGAATGATGCGTATAAACAAAATGAGCTCTTTGTCCCAGACCTGAAGTTGAAAAGTAACCTTGAATTCTTTGTCTCTCTTACTGCAAATAATCAATATGGCAGGGAGGTCTGGTCTGGTCTAAAAGTCAGTCTCCAATATTCTTCGCCAACAGTGACAGAAACACTGCAGATCAACATACTGACTATTCACGGAAAAGGGGGGAAAAAAGTCACAAAATAATGAATTACATTCTTTAATCTTTGAGAAACTATATTTTTTTTTTTTACTCCATCTTATTCCAACACTGCTTCAGTCTTTAACCACTTGAACATAAAAACAGCATGAAAAGGAAACCAGAAGTGACTGGGGAAGACTTAAAATTTCATCCCACACCACTTTTTTTTTTTTTTTTCTATTCATTTTATATATATAAAAAAACATGGGTATCAAAGCCAAAAGCTATTTGGAATTGTTAGAACAACATTTTTAGGATAACAATGAAGTTACCAGAGTCAAGTTCTACTATTTAACCCATTGCTAGAGGGGGAGATGGATTCATACCTTTTTCAGGGTTATTTGCACATAAGTGAATATAATTAACTTGACAGATTTCTAATTCCAATAAACATCCCTCCAATACATGACAGAAGAAAGAATAAGATGGAGTAATTTTGATATATTAAGTATAACAATCAGTGCAGGGATTTGTTAGTTTTAAAGTAAAAAAAAAAAAAAAAAAATAATAATAGTATCTCACTGTTCATACAAAAATGAATTCCCTTCAGTTTTTTTTTATACCCACTACTTCCCTCTTTTATATTGATATTGCCCACCTCATTTAGTAAACCTTTACAGAGTGGCTCTCGGGTCTTAAATATTTAAAGAATAAAAATCTGGAAGTTTGTAACTGGATTCAGTAAATTATTCTTAAACATTGCCTATCAGCAAATTGCCTTTCTATTGGACCATTTCATTGAGATGGAAAAGGGGGATCCTCCAGGTCTACCTATCTAGGCTTTGTGCTCTGGAAATATCTGAAACATGTAGAGAACAACAAATTCTTTATGCAGTAAAAGAAACTGGAAAAAGAAAATAGTAATGTTTACTGATGGAGGTTTCTTAAAAAGGTTTATTCTTAAACATTTATAACCCATTAACTGGCTGATGGGGATGTTAGTCATTGTAGTTCTATAGCTCAACTGCAACTAACAGAAATTTCTACCAGTCACACATAACTATAACGCTGCCAATGATGAAAATTCAGTTCTAAGTAAATGTACCAAATAAACATTTCTTCCTCCAGCCAATCCATACACAGAAGTTATTGTTCAAGAGAGTAAATTTCAAATTCTTTCTTTCTAAATTCTATTCTGGAAAAATTTCAAAACCCAGATTTTTTTTTTTCTTTCTTTCAGTGCCACATTTACAGCTAAAGAAAAAGAAAAGGATATATTGTGTGAAGACACTGCTATTGTATTAAGTATTGGACTATTTGAATTTTCTAATTCACTCTCAAATTAAAATTGCCACTACATTTCCCTGATCAAGAGGTTTTGAGGAGCATGGAACCACATCTTAATTGTTATTACCAGGTCCACCCTAACCTATGGTGGTAGCACCTGTTAGGGCCCATGAAAGTATAAAAATACATTTTCGTAGTAAAAATTAACAGCAATACATTTTTGTAAATGAAATTACTAATACTTCCAAGAAAATTAAATTTCGGCATTATATGCCACTAAACAAACCCTTCTTGGCCACCACATTGAGAAAATGGCAACGTTGACCGATTTAATAAAGGAAAGAATTTTATATTCAATTGAACGGTCAGAGTTACCTCCCTTACATGAATGTATACGGAAGCCCCGTTTCTCAAATGTCCAAATTCATTTTAAAAGGAAATTTCCTCTTTTAGTTTCATTGCAGTGAGAATCATTATTTTAGAATATCATGGAAGAATTTGATCAGAAAATACGGCGTTTTTGCAATATGAATATTTATATTTAGGAAGACGTGAAGAAGAAAAAACTTATTTATAATGTAAAGCGTTGGGGGGGAGGATTAAAAAAAATGCCCATCACCAAAAAAAAAAAAAAAAAATTCAATCTGTTAAGATGAAGGAGACAATTTTTGCCAAATTGGGATGAATAATAATGTCTTAAACAATGGCACTAAGCACTCAATATTTATTATGTTTATTTCTATAATATACACTCTGGCCTGTCATATAAATGGGGGAGTGGTATACTTTAAAATTCAATGGTAGCAAACAATAAATATTGTGAAAAAAATTAACATTCATTGATCTTGATTGTGCATTAATAACTTGATCTGTTAATCCTATCTTCAGCAAAACATAGCCCCAATTTTCTTTGTAAGCCATATACAGTTTTGTAAAGATTTCCATAATTGAAACATTAAAGTCAATCTTAGCTAAGAGAGTTTAAGATAAAGGGAATGCAGCCTTCATTCCTGCCAGGTAGTACATTTTCTTTCATAAAACATTTGATGATTTCAGCCAGTCGACATTGGTTTGTGAATTTAACAGCCCTTCGACCGCTAATATGTAATTCAGAACCAATTTCAGTTCAGTAGGTGTTAATTTTACCATTTAAAAAAATAAATTAAAAGGCTAATGTCTAATCAAATGTCTGATGCCAAATCCCCAAGGCAATACTTGCACACTTCTGGTCCACACAACTTTGCTATTTCCTCCTGTCGAAGGCAATCCTTTCAGATATCAGATATGCTAATCCAGTATCCTCACTGATTTGGTTTTCTCATCTACCATGTCATCTTTTGACAGGGAACTTGTTTTGTTGGATCTATACACAAAGCTTCATTCTCATCTGATTCCATGTCTAAAACAGTTTAACATCTGTCTTCTAATCAGTGTAATTCTACCAGTCTTCAGGTTTCTTCTTTTTTGTTTTCTCTCTCTCTTTATGACAGCCATTTTGATTTTTTCTGATATTTATCTTGGCAATCAATCCAAGGCAGTTGTTTTAGAAGACAGAGCCTTTATATGTCCTCTTCTCTCGGTGTCCAGGTTTCACATCAGATCGTAGTAGGGCCTGGTCTATGGAATTTGCTTCTCTGTTCCCAGATCTTTTCTTTGAACATTCCAGAAGCAGTTGAGGCAAGATCTATGCCACCAAACTAGTTTAGAAATATCTAAACTGCCGGCTGTATACAATCGCTTTCTCAGATCAATAGTTAAGTGGCCTTGAGCAAGCGAAGACCACACTTGGTGCAACAGAATCACAAAGAACTGTACCAAATAACAGAAACCACAATACTTGAGGACTATCAACAGCTAAAATGCATATCATATGCAACTTGAAAAGAAAATAATGACATAATCAAGATGTTGACTTTCCACACTACCCCCAAACAAAAAGGTTAGAAAGAAAACCCCCATTAGTACTAGAAAAAGTGATAACAGCTACTGAACTTGAGAAAAAACAATTTTTCAGGAAAATAGTTAAGAGAAAGATTTTAGAAATTTCAACCAAAAATAGTACCTGGCTGCTCAGTCAATAAATGCTTCCTTATAAGGAGAGGCTAATATTACCATTAACATTCTTTGCTTCATATCCTGGTGAAATTTACACACAAGGTTACGTTATTTGCATAATCGCTTCTTGTCCACACAGATTTGCTGTTTCTTCCAAGTCAAAAATGATATTTCAGTTTCCTCTCTGATTTACTCTTCCTATCTCATAAGTGACCTACCATTTTTGGTCTTTTGACAGGGAAGTTATCTTTGTAGGATTGATATAAAAACATGTACCCTCTAAAATTAATGCTTGTAGGTAATAATAAAAAAAAAAAAAACTTCAGATAATCTAGGCTGGTAGACCCAAATTTCATTGGGTACATCATGGTGTACTTCCAAATACATGTAGCCAGTCTTATTACATTTATTATAATAATTAGTAATAAAAATTGTCAGATGAAAAAGACTATCCTACTCTTCCCCCACTTTATTACAAGACCATCTGCTCAAAGTCTTAAGTGGCATTTCAGCAGCTTCAAAATATAGGTAAAACACCAAGGATGGTGACGGTATTTCATGTTTGAATGTAATTTTTTGAAGCCGAAAGATTGCATTCAAGCATGAAAGACTGTTGCCACTCAGTGTCCACTCATATATATATATATATATATATATATATATATATATATATAGTCTTGCTTTCAAATGTTTAAGACACAAACAACTACTTAAAACTGTGTGAAAATGAACAAAGAATAGCTATATGGCTAGATTTAAATTTTGCCTTCTAATGGGTCACTATTGTCCTGTCAGTAAAGTAGTGCCCACATTGGACGAATTTCCCAAAATATGACGCAAGTTCAAATTCCTTATTTTTGAGCCACACCTTTTAGTTAGTATTTTTTTGTTTTTTAAAAAAACAAAAAGAAAAAAACTGAGAAATAAGATGAAACAAAATCAAGTCAAAAGTTAATAATGGCTCCAACTAATGAAATTCACACTATTTAAGACATGCCTACCTGTCAAAAATTAAAGCATACGAATTTAGTACTCATAGAAAAATAATTCCCTCCAAAAATGTTGACTTTGTTAATAACCTGAGCAAAAAAATGTTAAGCACCAAAAAGGTTCAACAGGATTATTTTTTAAAATAAACTAATAAGTAAATAAAAAAATATATGGATGTTGGATTTTTAAAACTTAAGATCAATTTATATTCAGCAGTTAGAAAAATGTATAAATAATGTTTGTTAATGATATCAGAGTTTGGTTTTTTTGAGCATAGAATACTATTGAATGAAGCTAAAATGTTTGCTTGGTTGGGAAAAAAAACTATCCTGGAATTCGTTCTCCAATCAGGGCCAACAGAAGTTCTTTGTAATCTCCACTGGTGTCGCCAGAAATGCTGCTGGCCAATGAAACATTATACAGCTTTTCATACTGCTCTTTCACTTGGACCATGTCAATCTGAAAAAAGAAAAAAAAAAAAAAAATTTTATTGGTGCAAAATTCTGGCCTTTTTAGAATCAAAGGACAGAGATATGGCTCTGAGGAAGTGGAAGCAACAGGGTGGAGCAAATCCTGTGCCCCTTCCCTGCAGGATGAGGTAAATTCCCAAATTTGGAAATCATAATACCTCGCAAGAAAATTCTAAATGAAGAAACCTTGTTAGAATTGTATTAAGAAACTTTAGGAAACCCTGAAAACCCCACCCTACTCCAGCTTGAAGCTAGGGTCCATAAAAGCAAGGTGCTTGGGGTGTTGTGGATAGTTGAATAGTAGTTGCAGCTGAGGCCAGAGAGATGAACAGTTGGAAACCAGATTGCAGCAAGACTGGAGAACAAGTGCCAACAAGTACTTTACTACCAAAACTTACAGATTGTTTCTAGCAAGGTAAAAGCCAGTGAGCCACTAATAGGTTCATTTGGGAAGGGCTGAACTATTTGTGTCCTAAATTTACATAAAATTGTTGAATCTGACCAGTGTTCCTGTCGTAATTCCTGTCTACAGGAATAATTATTTTCATTTGTGTGACCAGCATCATGCTGATTTAATATATCTTGTTCCTGTGACATTCAATCTATCACCCTGAGATAAAAAATCACAACATTGGAGGGAGGTTGTGGATTGAACGACCAGCAACTGCTGACCAGGTTTTGGACTAGAGCCCCAGGGTGTATACCCACATACTCAGATTTGGCAAGTGAAGCCCTGAATAAAACACCTAAACATATTGCAAACAGGGTTTGGGCCCTCATTTTGACCTGAGGTAGTTTTCATTATCCTATAAATGTGCAGAGGGCCTTTCTCACCAATGTGAACAAGAATGAGATGCAACATAAGGTAGTCAATAGCTGAGTGAGGGTGACATGTTTACACACACACACATATATATATATATATATATATATATATATATATATGTCCTGGGTATGATGATAAACTACATCCGGCAGCAAGTCTTCTCATCGGGAGATTGGAGTATTCGAGGAGCATGGAACCACCTTTTAATTGCTGTTGTTCCCAGGTTTGCCCTGACCAAGGGTGGTAGCACCTGTTAGGCTCCCAGCTATGGGCAAATAGTGCCTACCAGGGCTCACTAAGCTCTTTAGTGTTATAGAACATGTCTAGGAGATGGAAAACTCTTACATGAAAAGCCTGAGGTCTATTGTCTGCTTCGTCTGTGGCATTTATTTGCACTGACCGAGTGTATCAGTAGTTCTGAAAAGTGTGGATGGTTCTGCACAAGCCCTTCATCACTTTAATCAAATCACTTGTGTGGGTTTTCTAGCGGTTTACCTTGATTCGTTCATTCTTATCCACAAAGTTCATTTGCAAGGTCCGCAGGCGAGAGAGTGAAGGCGATGGGGTCAAGTAAAGGATATTACTGGAAGGCTCTAGCTGGTGCTCTACACAGTGGCTGACCGATGGGTGATGGCCGTTCTTTCACAAAGCCATGAGCAATTGTGATGTTCGTGTCCGCCATTGGTGACAAAGCAGCCCTGTTTAGAATATGCACTGCTTTCTCTATTATGGGGAGGAGGCGATAAAAGTAGCCCTAAACATTGCTTGCTCACACAGAGACTTGGCAGCCCATTGCAACTGTCTGGTTATCCAATAATGAAGTTGAAACAGCAAGAAAGGTCAAAAGAAATATAAGAAGAATTTCCATTTTGGATCCTGGAATGTTTGCACTCTCCAGGACAATGATTCTGCCCCAGAGCGTAAAACAGCTCTTGTTTCTCTCAAGTTGAAGTATAACATTGACATAGCAGCCATTAGTGAAACACATCTGGCTCGTAATTCTCAGCTTAGGGAAGAAAAAGGTGGATATGTGTTTTAAGGGCTGGCAAGACTAAGAAAGAGTTACACCAGTCTGGTGTTGGCTTTGCTATCAAGTCAGGCCTTGCTAGCTCACTGCCTTCCTTACCTAAAGGTGTATCAGTTCACATAATGGAATTAACCCTCAATTTGGAGTGCAACACCTGTGTGACGATGGTTAGCTGCTATGCACCAACCTTAAGTAGTTCAGATCAAGAAAAAGATTTTTACAATCTTCTTCAGGATGTCATCTCCAAAGTCCAACATAAGGATAAATTAATCCTTACAGGTGACTTCAATGCTAATGTTGGCAATGATTATCATTCTTGGAAGGGCTTTTTAGGTCACCGTGGTAGTGTGAATTCGAATGGATTACACCCTCTCATGATCTGCAAGGAATTTGATCTTAGTATTACTAATACCTTCTACCAGCAACCCAGCTGTCATAAGACCATGTGGATGCAACTTCGTTCGAAAGACTTGCATCTGATTAACTACATCATCACCAAAAGACGGGGCATAAAAGATTTCAAGAGAACGCGTTCATTCCACACATGTTATCTGTCAGATCATGTTCTACTTCGGAGTAAAGCTACATTTGCCAGCTGGATGTTTTCCATAAAAACTGTCTCCGTGCAATCTGTGAAGTTAACCTTCAAGATAGGACATCTAACAGAGACCTGTTTAAAAGGCGTAATATTGCAATCGAGACTTTTCTCATATAGTCTCAGTTACGGTGGATTGGTCATGTCTTAAGAATGTCTGATGAGAGTATACCCAAGATCCTAATGTACAGCCAGTTAGATCAGGGCTACAGGAATGTAGGACGCCCATGGCTAAGATACAAAGACAAGCAGAAAAGCAACTTGTCAGCAGTCAATCTACCATATAACACCCTTGAGCACTTAGCCTTGGAGCGGGTAGAATGGAGATCAACGTGTTTTAGTGAACTCAGCACTTTTCAATCTGCTTGTCTGAATTTCATTAAACAGAGCAAATTTTCTTTAGAATTGAAATTAAGATATATATATATATATATATATATATATATATATATATATATATATAAAAAAGGTATCTTAATTCCAATTGTAAAGAAAATTTGCTCTGTTTAATGAAAATAAACATTGAGCACTCTTTTGTGAGTCAGTTTTAACATATTACAAATTCTATGTTGTGTTAATAGGACTCGCTTGGATTATACCAAACGGATTACTGTGTGTGTATATATATTTCATTGAAACTAGATTTGATTATGTGTTTTGCCTTTCTAGGCTTCGTCAGATCCAAAAATTAAATATGTATGCTTAAATAATAATATATATATATATATATATATATATATATGTTAAGAAATGGACAAGGTCCGAAATAATTTATGTTTAATGTATCTATAAAATATAAACATAAATAAAAATATATATATATATATATATATATACACTATACTCAAATGTAACAAGAATGAAAAGAATATAAATTCAAGCATTCATAGCATTAATTCAAAAGAGGGCTCAATACCAAGAATAGACCAATAGTTATTTATTATAAAAATGTTACATGTGGACAAACAACCTGTTTTCTCATTATTTTTTTTTCTTTTATGGTGTTTCTCCTTATGTTTAAAAAAAAAAAAAAAAAAATAAAATTTGAATAATGAAAAATAGAAAGTGATGTTTCATAAGTAACATTTTTAAAATGCATCTTTGCCATGAGTACTTGTTTGTCCGTGTGTAATTATATATATATATATATATATATATATATATTTCAGTTTGTACAATTTTGTTTTTATATTAATGGAAAGAGCAATGCCTGAACTAAGAAACCCAGGTTTTGAGCAAAGCAGGTGTTTCAATTTCGCAGTTGATAATTCGGCAGGAGAGAGGAAAAAAAATAAAAAAGGTTGACCAACAAAAAGCCATTTCGTTAAATAAATATATTTAAAAAAAAAAAATTCCTCACCTCAGACCTTGTAATGATAACACGAATCAAGTTCAAATCTTTTGTTCCAAGCCCCTTAACAAATTTATGAATCCGTTCAGCAAAATAATGAGGTTTGCCTCGAGCCATGGAAACTGAAATGACACAAATAAAGAGAAAATAATCAAAGTTGGAAATGAAGCCATTAAATTACAGAAATAACTTTCAGTTTATTTATTTTATAATTTGATTCAATTCACAAATGGATGGTGTGCAGCGGCTCGGATTGAGGAATCTGAGAGCCAAATTCAAATTCCATTCAGATCCATTACGTGCTAATGCTCTTGGGAAAGGTATGAATCCTCTTCTCCCCACCATCTATGGGTAAATAGTAGAACAGACCAGATTCTATAACCTTGGATGGCAACTGATCTACCACAGAAAGAAATGGCAACCTACTGCAAGAAAAAAATCTGCCTCGTCTGTCATGTATTGAAAGATACATGATTGCCTAAGCATGTATCAAGCATAGTGCGTAACTAAGTGGATAAATAAATATAATGGAAATTTCAGAGCCAAGTTCAAATTCCAGTTCAGTTTGTGAAATTCACTTTTACATAAATACCCTTGTGAAAGATATAAATCTACCTTCTCCCCATGACTATGAGTTAAATAGTAAGATTTGTATCCACAGATATATTTATTATTCTCAAAAAAAAAAAAAAAAAAAAAAAAAAAAAAAAATTATACAATATTCACTTGCAAAAAGTATATAAAATATTTTCTTTACAACCCAAAATATGTTTTGGCTTTAAATAACCCACAGTGTTGATAAACCATGAAAAAATCATAAAAACCACAGCTTTTAACTAAATTTTTGCCTAATACAATGCTCAAATGCCATTCAAGTTAGAGATTTATGAAATGGGGTAGCTGTAAGGACACAGGAGGGGGTAGCAGACAGCAAGTGTAGATTATGATGATATATATGATAGGTAATGCTTGAACCTAGTCTTGAAGTGGTTAAGATTGTAATGATTGGGAAAGCATCAAACCAGGAGTCGGTTCCATAAAGTAGTTGCTCTTGGGAAGAAGCTGTCCAAATAGAATTTCCTTCTTATAAACAGAATACAAATGTTTGATCAATAAGTGACAAAAGTTTCCTGGATGGAAACTACTAATTTTATCATTACCGTATTGACCAAGTTTTGGCTTGGTGTGAAGATGAGCAACTTGCATGTTTGAAAAGCTGCAAGTCTGATTTTTTTTTAAAACTTTTAGCAGGTTCAAACTTGATTTTATTTTATTGTTTAACAGCATATCAACTCCTCTAAGGATCATTCAAAGCCAAAGTATTTCTTGGGAGCTTTGAAATAATAAAAATATGATATGTTATTCTGTTTTTACAATGTTTATGATCTCTGGGTATTGATTAAACAAAAAAGAGAAAGAAAGAAGGAAGTGGAAAGAGTTGACTAACTGGATGATAAGTGTTGAAATTCGCAGGAAGATGGATTGAAAAGGTAAAATTAAAAACAAAAAATGCATTGAAAAATCAGGTTTAGAATAATTCTAAGGAGAATTAAAACCCAAATTTAACTCGACAGAATCCAGTAAGATTAAGCAAAGCCAAGACTACTTGTCCTTCCCCACTTCACACTAATGAAAAAGAGACTATTAATGTATCCACAAAGATGCCAAATAGAAGAAGAAAGAAAAAAAAACAAAAAAAAAAACGTTGTCGATAAAGAAATCCAGGTGGTCACTGAAATAACATTTAAAGATCGCTCTGAACAAAAAAGCCAGGAAAAAGAAACATTTAGTTTGAATCAGCTACCCAGAAGAAAAGTGCTACCACAGAGATAGGGGCCAGCCTGACATGTTTGTTCATTATAATTTCTGTGACATTTGTTTGTTTGGGTTTTATGGCATATCAACCACTGTGGGTTATTTAATGCCAAATCCAGTTTATATATATATATATATATATATATATATATATATATATATATATATATATATGCCAAATACATGAATTTTAAATGCCTATTTTGTATGGAACATTTTTAGCAATCTAGAGCTTATTTGCTTGCACACTGCAAAATAATCCCAGGTATTTTTTGTTTAAGTCAAGAATTTCCATTTGATTGTTTTGTTAACGGGGCATCTCAACCTTAGTGGTCACTTAATGCCGAAAATGATTTTGAGTGACTTTAAAAGTCAAAAACGTATAGCTGGCAACATTATGGTTTCAAAAACGTATAGCAGACAACATTATTTTTTACAAAAAACGTATAGCTGGCAACATTATGGTTTCAAAAACATATAGCTGGCAACATTATGGTTCCAAAAACGTATAGCGGGCAACATTATGGTTTCAAAAACGTATAGCGGGCAACATTATTTTTTACAAAAAACGTATAGCTGGCAACATTATGGTTTCAAAAACGTATAGCTGGCAACATTATGGTTCCAAAAACATAGCTGGCAACATTATGGTTTCAAAAAACGTATAGCGGGCAACATTATTTTTTCAAAACGTATAGCTGGCAAATATTATGGTTTCAAAAACGTATAGCTGGCAACATTATGGTTCCAAAAACATTAACATTATGGTTTCAAAACGTATAGCTGGCAACATTATGGTTTCAAAAACATAGCTGGCAACATTATGGTTCCAAAAACGTATAGCGGGCAACATTATTTTTTACAAAAAACGTATAGCTGGCAACATTATGGTTCCAAAAACGAATAGCTGGCAAAATTATTTTTCCGAAAACATTATCTGAGGCCTTGCTGTTGGATGTAGTTTATCGCCATACCCAGGACGCAGATGTGGTTTATCGCCATACCCAGGACGCGTGACATTTGTCCAGAAAACTTAAATCCAAACATTAAATTCAGATTCCTTCAGATACAAGTGATAAAAAGAAATTAATTACTATTTTGGAGTGAGCATGGAAAAAAAAAAGGCTGTGTGGTCTTGTTGATCCTAAAAATGCATAGACAAAATAAACTTGTTTTTTATCACTAAAGAAATTGGGAATAATTTTCTTTCCAACCCATGACAATTCTCGAGTGGTCTGGTCTATCAAGAAATCACAGCATGAGACAAGCTGATAAAGAAACATTAATGACTGAGAATCTCTTGTTTTCTCCTACACCATCTGGAAGTTAGATTTGTCACAAAGACAATGTACCATCCCTTCAAGCGGGCTGAGGTTGGATGCTGAGAAAGTGGGAGAAGGAAAAGAGAAATTAGCACTGTCTATATGGAGTGGTGCTGTGAGATGAGACATGAAAAGAGGTGGAGTTTAGGGGGTGGCATGATTCCTCTGACCACTCTCAAAAGGAGAGGATTGACAACTTAAGTAAATATATTTTGAGAATAAGGAATTTTAGAAAAAGGTTGATGCTAAGGGTGGAAGGCAACCGAACCTAAACCCTTGTTAACTCCACCCCAGCTGGACACAGGACTCCATGTAAGCTGGAGATTTGGACAACTTGTACAGTCCCCACATTACTGCTACTAGAATTCACCGAGACCTCCTGACCAAGACCTTGTGACAGCCCTGAAGACCAGGACTTAAAAATTTAAGTTATTACTAAAACAAGATGCAAATTCCAAAGGGGATCCTAGTGCCATTTGATAATAACAAGGGGGAAGGGTTAAAATCGCTGTATACAACAAATCATACTTATCATAAAACCCAGGTTGTGTGTGTGTGTCTGTACGTTTATATATTGAATCAGATTTCCTACATTTTTCAACCAATTTCAACAAAACTTCACAGGACTACGTAAAATTACCTTGCGCCAAAAAGTGGAAAAACAATTATTTTTGCACAAAATCAACTTAAAAACATGATTAAGAGGCATCACAAGAATGAAAGGGGGACAACTCATATCGAGTTATACTCATTATAAAACCCAGGTTGGTTGTGTGTGTGTGTTCGATTATATATGGGATCGGATTTCCTACATTTTTCAACCGATTTCAACAAAACTTCACTTTTTTTTGGCATGTAGTGTTTCTTAATGTCTTGCACACTTTTCTTTATTTTTACATTCAGAAGGATTTAAAAATTCCATTTACAAGACAATTGTTTATAATAAAATTCTATTCAATCGATAGACTCATAATGATTGAAAACAATGTTTTTGTTGAGTTTGGGTTTGACCAATTCGTAAAAAAAAAAACTAATTAAGGCATGCGTGTCCGTCAATCTTAAACAATAATCTTTGTCAATTTTATTTTTCAGTCTTTATGATGGTCAATACTTGATCTATCTCTTACTGTTACATCCCCGGGCAACGCCAGGCTCTACTGCTAGTCATATATAAACAAAATCATTGTTACATTTTTAACCAGAGTTAATTCTTTATTTCAAAGTATTCTTTTTTGTGTAGCTCCCAGCTGTTGAACCGTCTTCACTTCAGAGATCTTCACACCCTCTGAGATCAAAAGCACAATGTAGCAGAGGAGAGAATGGTCATGAACAGACATACGCCAGCTAAGTAGAACCATGCCCACCATCTCGATACCAGCGACAAATGAGCCACATGTTAACAAGTGAGGAGTCAGCTAGGTGGTAACCACAGTGGTCTGAGGGAACTTGAAAGCCAACACAGGGCATAGGGCTACATTGGTGGCCGTTGACAAGGATCAACCAGTGGGGTTTATGAAATAAAAGTCTGCCCTGCTATTTAAACATCCCTTTTTTTTTTTTTTTTTTTTTTTTAAATGCTTTCACACCTGCATTGTTATAACATTGTTGCCTGGCTGTGCTAGCCTATTTCACAAAAAATAGGAAATTGCCATTTACTGAAAATGACTAGAAAGATTTTGGCTTTGATCAGATACTCTGCAGTACAAACTAAGCTAAATGACTCCCTAACACATAATATAATAAAAATAAGTAAAAAAAACTGGTCATACTGTACACTGCTATATGTCTACACTGGTTTGGAAATAGCACTAAGTACTAGTTAGTTTATAACACAAAGAATATGCATTGTTATTGGTCTTGACCAGGCATCTCTGCTTTGCTCCCTTTCCTACCCCCATAGCGTAGCTTCTGTGCCTTTACAAGAAATACTTTCACATGGTAATTGTTCCAATGAACATTCCTCTTTGGTACCTACACTTTACGAA